CTTCCCATCCTCGTTGTTTCTTTTGTCACCATGGTAATATCAATAAGATTTTGTCTCCTTCTGATCATTATTTCAGTCCCTGGCTCATACACTAAAGGAAAAGTTCCTGCGAGGAATTTCCGGATGAAAATATCTTCGAATATTATCTGTGGTGCTCCTGTCTCTCCATGAAGATTAGCTACAACAGAAAAATATACATATTAAACAATCAGTAAGTATGAAATATTAATTTATGTAAGAGAAATTTCTTCTACATGTATATAACATTCCATGATGATACTCTCCAAACTTGCCCCATATGATTTATGCTTTATTTGGTTCATTTGGTATTCTTAATTTCCATTATACACTACATCTGCATGAGTTTCATTTGTTTCCTTCTCTTCAAAAACTGTACTACATGATTTATTAAATACCAAAAAATTTCATTTCTCTTTTCTAATGAGAAAAGAGTCACTATTATTAATTGGACAAACCATCGATATCTCTTTAAACTCACTGCAAGCTCTTTAAATACTTACTTGTGTTCCATGAGTTCCATGATTTTCTAACTCCTATTGTGTAAGGAGGGTTGATTTCCTCATAAGTAAAGTTGTGTTCTCCTTTCTTTGGATACTGCTTTTTACCGGATCTGAGATTTTTGCAGAGCTGAGCTGATGTACAAAATGTCCTTGAAAGACTTTTATATCTTGATGAACAACAAAGCACTCTCTGAAAAATTTTTGTAAAAAAAACTAATAAAATTAAATGTTTCTTTCTTAAATCTTGACATCTCTCACACTTCTGTAGAGTCTTCTCTTTGCAGCTTTTTTTTTCAAATATAGGAAAGAAAGAAGTTGCATTATCAAAACCAAGACTGAACTAAACAGTGTTTCACTTTATAGAACATTTAATCTACTATTTACTAGTATTTATCTGCAATATCCATTAAATAAAGGTTATATAAATATATTTTATTTTTTGTTGAACTTTTGTTGCTATGATTTATTAATTATTAGGAGAACCTAGTTTTTGGCAACATGCATTTCACTATGGATTGTGGGCGCAGAGGAAACTGCGAAAAAAAATTAATTGGATCAAAACTCCTCTGCTTTGAAGAACTCGGTGACGAACCCTGCTTTAATTGTGCCACTTGCTGTGACAGGCAGTGCTTTGCAATGCTTTTCATTACCTCAATTTTTAAGCCAATACAATTCTTAAGAAGATAAGGGTTGTTGCACTATTACAACTGCTTGAAATTCAATGAAACCTTGAACATTTTGAATGCATATACAAAATGCCCCAGAAGGGCCAGAACAGACAGAAGTAAACATAAGTCTAAAAGGTTCACCAGTATGGAAAATAAATATGCAAGATCCTGATCATACACCAGAATTTTTATATAGGGAATACTACTATTTTCACTAAAGTACTGAGGAAATTCGGCATGAGTGTCATTTTTTATCATATTGTAACGTTTTTCTCTCTATGGGTTGTTTGTTGTTACCCGCGTCACAAAATATTGTGGATCCCGTGTAGAAGATAGGAACTTTAGATCTTTATAGATCTAACATCAGAACAACGACAAAGTTCGTTTCAACAAGTGTATTATTAATATCCAAACGTAGTTTACAATCCAGTACAAGCAATGTATCTCTAGTATATCTGCTCACTGACTCTCTCTCCTTATATACCCTGCCTGACACCTAACGTGAATTAGGGCACCTCGTTAGGGCGTTAGGCTCCATCATTAGGGCACTTGTTAGGGCAATCGGCTCCATCATTAGGGCACCCTGTTAGGGCAATCGGCTCCATCATTAGGGCACGTATTAGGGCAATCGGCTCCAAGTATTAGGGCCTCTGCACCATTGTTAGGTGTCAAGACACTTAATATATTTAGCATCTGATAAGCGCCATATTAATTAGGACACTAATTAGACTTCCAAGATAAGGGCGCTAATCAGGTACCATGGTTAGGGCTTATCAAATAAACAAAAATACTATTCCTATTTTATAAACAACTGTAGCATATTTACATATATAAACAGAAAAAAACATTACAATGGTCCCTCCTTTTGAAACATGACTTCCATTGTCATTAATATTTAAAACATGAACATGAATTATACGTAAAATTAAATTACACAAAAGCCAAACAATCAATAAAAAGACAAAAAGTAAAACAACAAAATTATATCAAATAAAATGTCACTAGATAAAAAAAAAATGTTCATCACACTGGTAGCTTCACATTTGGATTTCCCTGGCCTTTTTTTCTTCAACATTTTCTCTTCACTTTTTTTAATATAGGCTTTTCCTCCCTAGGTTATAGGCCGTGTAAGGTTGACTGACACCTGACCTGCGGCATCAGTCATCTTAGTTAATATAATTCCTTACAGTTCTCTTTTCAACACAGTTATGGTCTCGAGAACTGTTATTTGATATAAATCCTCCTCTTTCTCTCTGGTTCCATGGGTTGTAAGGGCGTCCCCTCCTCCCTGGTCCTGCACTAGTACATGTACTCGGGGTTCTTATGTTTTTATAGATACTGTTGAATCCGTCACCCGCGCTTGGAGGTTTGGCAGTATCTGCAGCTGCTATTTCATCGTTCAATTCCCCAACTTCAATCTCATACACAGGCCTATAGCCTGGTTTTGTCTCCTTTGGCAATTCTTTTTCTCCAATCCGCAAGCACTCTTCTTGCATCGCGTTAAGAACTGCTTCCTGGAGTGTCCTGGGTCTGGTCCGTTTCACTGCAAGTCGGAAATCCTCAGATTGTCCACACTTATCTAGGAAGGACTGTATAGCATTTTCTTCCACTAAATCTGGATTTCCTGGATAGGCCCTTCGGTACAGATCTTCGATTGCCTGTCCTAAATCTCGCAGGGACTCGCCAGGTTTTCTTCTCCTTAATTTGACATCTGCAATATATTTTTCTTTCATTGCAGAATGTCCAAATCTTTGATTCATTTTCTCTTTTAGTTCCTCATAGTCTTTCTGTACAGTAAGGGGCATTCCATAGGCATAACTCTCGGCCTGCCCTCGCAAGGTGCTAAGTAAGACTCTGCGAGATTTCTCAGGTCCCCATGAGTTTAATTCTGAGATGTTTCCAAAATATTGTAGGAACTCATCCCAAACATCATCATTGGCCCCTGAGAAAGTCCTCCTTACTGGGTATTCATTGGTTCGTTGACCAGCATTTGTTGTCATAGGACTGTTTGTAGGTGTTCCGTCAGCCATAGGAAATTCAAAATTGCACCCGAGTCCCTGAGGGGACTGATTGCCCAAATGAGGAGTAGTGCGTCCAGATTGCCCAAAAACCTTAGGTTCCTGATAGGTACCTGTAGGGGCATTAAGTGCACTATGACCAGTATAGGGTGTATCATTAGGTGTCAAAGAAATTTCCCTTTTCTTACTGGCAATCAGCAGACCGGATCCATGCTTCCATAATACGCTGATTACCGTAACAAGCAATATCATACTTATTATCGATATTAGAGAAAATACTGCATTTTCTCTAGATTCCTGCACGATCTCATTCTCTGGAAAATAGATCCAGGTCATCACCATCAGGGAACATCCTATCAAAGCAAAGAGTACCCAAATAAATAGGATTCTCTTTAAGCTTGGACTTGGATTGTACTCGTTTTGAACAGCAAGGCCCTGCGAGCTTTGCCCGAACTCCTGAAAGTTAGGATTGTCTGGCATTACTCGACTTGTGGGCTGCAAGCTTGTTCTACACCCCGCATCGACCTCTATTCCAGAGTCATTCAGAGGAGCCGGACTGTCGAAGTACTGTCCTACCTTTCTAGGCGTAATTCTCCTCTTTACGATGGGTGTCTCCATTTCAAACTTTGTGCTGTCTCGTTCCTGTGTTACACATAGAATAATTTCTTTGGATCCCACCGCTGCCACCAATTGTAACGTTTTTCTCTCTATGGGTTGTTTGTTGTTACCCGCGTCACAAAATATTGTGGATCCCGTGTAGAAGATAGGAACTTTAGATCTTTATAGATCTAACATCAGAACAACGACAAAGTTCGTTTCAACAAGTGTATTATTAATATCCAAACGTAGTTTACAATCCAGTACAAGCAATGTATCTCTAGTATATCTGCTCACTGACTCTCTCTCCTTATATACCCTGCCTGACACCTAACGTGAATTAGGGCACCTCGTTAGGGCGTTAGGCTCCATCATTAGGGCACTTGTTAGGGCAATCGGCTCCATCATTAGGGCACCCTGTTAGGGCAATCGGCTCCATCATTAGGGCACGTATTAGGGCAATCGGCTCCAAGTATTAGGGCCTCTGCACCATTGTTAGGTGTCAAGACACTTAATATATTTAGCATCTGATAAGCGCCATATTAATTAGGACACTAATTAGACTTCCAAGATAAGGGCGCTAATCAGGTACCATGGTTAGGGCTTATCAAATAAACAAAAATACTATTCCTATTTTATAAACAACTGTAGCATATTTACATATATAAACAGAAAAAAACATTACAATATTAAATATGAAAAAGATTTAGAATAATGTGAATTGAATTGACATACACGTTGCACAAGCATAACAATTTATTTTAACATTCGCTACTGTAGATAAAATTTACCTGTGAGAGAGTTGCCATTCTCAGCTCTCCGTGGTTGTTAACATTTACTCGCGTGATACAATCACCTTTAGTGCAGCTTTGTAAGCTTGTATTTCATTGGCTAATCTTTGGAATGTCGACCAATTGACATTTCGTTTTGTTACAGTTGTGCAACGTAGACTGCCATTTTGCGTCGTGTACAAAGTACGGAGACTGTGGAATTTATTCGTAAGTGTATTTCTTAGCATGAGAACAAAATTGTAATTTAGTTTAGAGTGTGGTGAACGTTTGAACATATTTTCTTCAGCTGAGAAACTTCAGATGTTCAGATTGATTGACCTTAGTCTAGCATCAGGGGGTGATTTTTAAAAACAGTATTTTTTCAGATTTTTTCCTCACATTCCTCTCAATTTGAGCATGCTGATTTCAAAATTGACAACCATTTCATTGTATCTCTTTCCATTGCATCACAATTAACTGGCAAACATGGGTACCCCCCACGCAATTTCAATTGGCTAATTTTCTGACTTTTAAAAATATCTGACCTCACATTATACTGATGAAAATTTATCAAATAAAAGATAACTAAATGTCTATTTAACCTTTTTTGGGTGTGTTTAATCTAAATATGAACTTAATTTATTGAAAATGAGAATTTTTATAGCCTTAGAATACTAATAAACACACCTACCCTCTTTCACCTTACTGTCCTACAAAACAGAGTACGCTTGTAAGATAGAGTACTTTAGAGTACGCTAGTAAAATTTTATAATTAAATGCAGTAAAACTGCTTTTTGTATGTTTTTCAACATTGGTTTAACATATTTAACATATATTTAAATAAAATGTGTATGTGTTCCTTATTTTAGAAGTTATTTTAATTTTTGATTTCAGGTTACGGTTTACATTGGTTTATCTTATGGTTTGATCCTGATCTTGATCTAATCAAACTTCAAATGTTTCATTGTTAATGTGAAAAATATTAAAGTTTATGTAATGCAATTAATTTAATTTTTGATAAACAAGATTTAGTTGAAATTAATAAGTCTGAAACAAAATAGTAAATAAGATTGGGGTGTTTATAACCATCATCTGTTCATTGCATTCAATCATGAATGTTGCTTCCTTGTCCAAATATTGCTAAATAAACAAATATTTGGGACAAATGTTGAAATATATTTTAATATACTGTTAAATCAAATTGTATATACATAAATAGTCTAACTATATTAAAATACACAACTTTTCTTCAGTACTCTGAAGAACTCTATCGTACACTGTCTACCATACATGGAAAGTTACATTATATTCTTGTATTAAAGTCTACACAGTTTCATTATGTTTATGTTCACAATCCCTGACATTGATGAAAAGGTTTATGAAATTGTGGTTTATAAAACTGTGTTTTTATCAAATTTAACACTATATAAAATCTACATTTATTATACTTCTTTTAGAACCACTGTCCTCTCTTTATACATCTCCTCTAGATCCTCTATTTACAAAACAATTAAAATTTGAAAAAGAAATGATTAAAAGGTATTGAAAGAATAATTATTATTCTCAAGTGTAGAAGAAAATGTTTTCTTTATCTTCTTAAAATGATATCCATATTTATTGGAATGTCTCAACTTTAGTATGAGGGCTTGTGCTAAATTTGAAATAAAATTTTTAAAAAATCACAATGAAAAATAGTAAAGGACTTTCACTAGTTTCAGGAGTTGGCTGATTTTTCTCAATAAATTCCTAAAAAAGAATTTTAAAAAGTGGTCTGCAATTACAGTTTACTTGACATTTTAATTTAAAATATTTTGCATATGAATTAGATTTATTCAACTTTAACTTTAGCATTTAACATGTTTAAATTAATTAAATTATATTTATAATTTATCAATTTGCAGAGCATATAGAAATTTATTATGACAAAGTTGTAAGCTACACATAACTGACTTAAGTGTCTTGAAGTTCTTCCTGTGATTCAACTTTCAAAATAAATTGACAAAGACATATCGTTCTGCAACTTTGCAAGTGCAAGAGTTTTGAGATACACAGAATTGTCGGTCTTTACAGTTTGCAAAATAATGTCATTAAAGGAGAGAATGACATATTTTCATGTGTTTATAAATCAAAAATAATATATTTTTCGAGGATAAAAACAGGAAAACTTACTGAACAGGAAAAAATCGGCGATTAAATGCCTTGTTTATTTTCCTCGGATTTAAAAACATTAGAGTTATCGTTCTTGTTCGTTTGACCCTACCGGATTGAACATCGATTTTACATTATTATCGGAGCAAATACTTATTATCCTCGTATTGTTTTAAGCTTAAAAAAGATCAAATTACTCAAAAATGACCGTAAAATCTGCGTATATTGCCGATTTCTAGTCTTCCCACCTATTTTTTCACTTTAAATATCGATAAATTGCCATTTTCTTACCATGTGCTTTCTATAAATATCATATACGTCAAATTAGAACTCCTGACTTTAGTTTCGCACCATTACTTTCGTATTTTAGCCTCAGGTTTTATCATACAAGACCGGGAAAAATCCCAAGCGCAACGAGGTCAACTTTTCGTGATTGCGGGAAAACTTACCGCCAGCGCCACCTAGCGGCGGCGCCCATTGCTACTTAGTCCACGATTTTTGTGTTCTAGAACATCTGTTTTTGGGACCATAACCTCTGAACTGATGATGATATTTTGTGAATCTGTGACTATGATTCACTTTCATATACGAAGAATTTTTCCAAGTATATTTTTATGCAAGATTCGCAACGGTTGGGAGAAATGATGATTCTAAAACTGTTATTTTTTTTCAAATACATTGGGGCAGTGTGGGTTTGATCTTGAACCTGTTGAACTGGTTCTTAAAAAAACAAACACAACAGACAAACAAAATCCTCCAACTTAAGATCCAGTATAATGTTGAAAACTCTTATATATCACTAGTTAGACTATCAGAGTGAGTCCAGATGAGTATTCAGTTTTCTTTTTGTATTCATCTCTTCAAACAGTCCTAACAAACTCCCAAAACAGAGCAGGGATCGACATTAACTGCTGTTTAAAGAACTTCAATTGCTCAAGGCCAGTAAATTTTGAGATTGGTCTTTAGTATGTTCCCAAGTTAAACTGCCAATGTACTTATCTGATCCGGCAAGTGAATATTTCCGGTAAAAACTAATTTTTTAAAATCTTGCAATAGTTTTTAAACAAAACAATTAACAGGTTCAGTCCAAAGATTATTTGTACCTAGGTAGATTTTGATAGCTACGTAGGTATTTAAACCTACTTAAAGTAGCTATTTTTACCTACTTTTTGTTTAATCTGCATTTTGTGGCCAAAAGACCGAATGGCGCAACATGGTGAATACCATATTTTTTGATACAGTCGCACTAATGATGAATAAGACAAAATTTTGGCCAAAAAATAATTACTTCATGAATCAGCAATTTTACATTAGATTCAATGCGAAATAGATAATGTACGAAGTAATCATTTTTTGGCCAAATTTTTGTCATATCCATCATCAGTGTGACTGTATCAAGGAATTTTGAGCTCACCATGTTGCGCCGTTCCTGAATTTGGCCATAAAATGCAAGTAAAGCAGAAAGTAGGTAAAAATAGCTACTCTGGGTAGGTTTAAATACCTACATAGCTATTAATAGCTATGTAGGTAGAAATAGTCTTTGGACTGGACCTGAATAACATTTGATTTCCACCAAGAACTTTCTTGCATTCATGGGGCTCGTTATACTGTTTTCTTTCACGATAGTTGACAAAAATACGCTCTACATCTGACACTACTTAGGCCATATAAAATATGAAATCTTCGTTCTCAGGCCCGCGCGCATCCGTTTTGAGGTAGCCGCATTGCCGATTTTATTGAATTTTTGATAAAATAAAAAGTTCGTATTGCGGAGACCAATCCGGGAAAAAAAATTCCGACCTCATTTGTTTCGTAGTTTAGTATTCAAATATCACTTCCGGTAGCCATTTACAATGAGATTTTGGCTACTTCGTTTGAAAATACATTCGAGGACATTACCTACGATGTTTACACGCTGATAAGCAATGGATAAGCAGAAATTTTGACCAGAAATGGAAAGTATATCTGTGATTAAAAAAATATCTTTATGTTAAAGAAAATTCGGAAATTAAAATTTAAAAAAATACCTCCCTCATCTACTTTATTGCCAATAAAATGAAAAATAAAATGCCGCCCTCCCGCATCTGTTTTGGAGGAAATAGGCCTGAGAACCAGGGAATTAAATTTAGATAGCCTTAGTTACATTCCTTGCATTCTTATTATGAAATTAGAATAGGTTATTTATTCACTCACAGAATATAAAAAAACACCAATTATTCTTAGCACACAATGTATCCAGATCAGGATATGTATGTTACAAAACATGCTGTATGTGAATAGTGATAAGTTCTTTGTCTTGCATAATATTTCATGTAATGGGTGTGTGTCTTCTGTATTTTCAGCTGCAGGTCTTCTATATAGATTTGAAAGATGTTTTTGTGGGACTGGTTTGCCGGCATTTTAAATTATCTAGGTAAGAGCAACATTTTCATTCTACTTTAATAGGAAAAAATGTATCCTTTGTTATATTATTAAGAAATCTTAAAAACTAGGCTAAGCCAGTTATAAACAGGTTATTGTTATAAATGTGTATATTTCTATATATGAGGATTGCGTCAAAAATCTGGCAAGCTTCTCTTGTTGGGGTTAGACAATGCTGGAAAAACAACACTGCTGAGTGTGTTGAAAGCAGGCCATATCATCCAGCCTGTGCCTACACTACACCCAAGTAAGCTGCCGATAATATGCTCGCAAGCCAGTTTGTCCTCTGTGTTGCATCATGGACATATACCTAGATTTGAAAGAACTTGTGCATTTTTATGCATCCATAAAATAGTTTCATATATTTGTTAACTAAATGGTTTGCACTGGCCAATCACCACATATGTTAATACTAATTGATTGATATACATACCAAAAGTTTTATATCATTCTGTATAATTAAATGCTAAATATGCAAGGTGGATTCATACACTTTGTACTGTATGCATTACTACAGCATTTAGATAGCTTTGTTGGTTGGTTGGGTGACCACTGATCAACAGAAAGGAAGTATGATCTTAATTTAGTTGGTGAGGGATGTGATACAACTGAAGGAAAAAAAATTTGAAAATTTGATTGAATTATCAAGAATTATTGAACAGTATTAAAATAGAGTAATAAATATACTTGAGTTGACGAGAAAATGTAAATCAATTCATTTTAAGAAAGGAAATGGTAAAATATTCACTTCGGTTACACATATTACCGTACATAAAACAAGATAATCTAAAATTTAAAAATCGCTAATTTATAAAAAGAAAAAGGAAAAAGATAATGTGTTATAACTCTACAATATGTATTGCACTAAGCTGCAGAATGAAATTATTGGCTTTCCCAGAAATAATGTGCTCTATGTTAAATATGTGTGTTTATTCATAACTTTTGTGTGAACCTGAAATGTACTTAAGGTACATATGTATTTTCCTATACGAGTGGAGCGTGATTTGAACCCTCTAAAACTGTAAGTATGGCAAACTGCATGATATTTAAACGGCATGGCTTTATATTTTAGGATTGTATAAAAAGTCTGGTAAGCTTGTGTTCCTTGGTCTAGACAATGCTGGAAAGACAACACTGCTTCACATGTTAAAAGATGACAGGATGGCACAGCATGTCCCCACACTCCACCCAAGTAAGCATGAGCTTATATTGTTCACTTGGAAATGGGATACCTTGTTAATGTATTTTTCTGAGGCATAAAAGTGTTTCCAGCTTTAAACATCAGAGAGGATTTCAAATTTTTACTGAGTAATAATGTGTTTTTAATTGGTAAACCACAGGTTAACTTTGGGATTTCAATGTTGATTATGTTTATGTTAAAAAACTCTCCAAGTCATGAAATTACAACTACTGAACAAATGTTGACAACAAATGTGTTCATCCTTTGACTTAATTAAATGTAAAGATGATGTAAAGTGGTGCAATTTCCAAGACTTTAAATTTATTTGATTATGTTTATGTTAAAAAACTCTCCAAGTCATGAAATTACAACTACTGCACAAATGTTGACAACAAATGTGTTCATCCTTTGACTTAATTAAATGTAAAGATGATGTAAAGTGGTGCAATTTCCAAAACTTTAAATTTATTTGGAAAACTGCATTTTTTTTTTTTTTACATACTTACAAATTAATATAATTAATGTAAGACCTGTTTCTGATGCTGCCTTTATTATTGTATTTGTTAATGAAGAAATAGCATAATTCATTGTCAAACTGAGTTGTTTTAATTCCATGTTATGCATAAATTTTAGCTTCAGAAGAATTATCAATGGGAGGAATGAGGTTCACAACCTTTGACCTTGGAGGTCATCAACAAGGTAAATAAATACATATACGGCTCTTAAAAATAAGGTTTTCTTTTTCTTTAAAAATTATCAGAGCAAAACAAAGCTCTGTAAAGAAGGTGGATCCTCAATATACAGGATAGATTACAGTGTATGCTGTATTTGGTAAATGATTTTTTTGTGGTTTCCATGCGGAATTTAATGAAAGAATTACAAAATGTACCTTTGTATTAACAGCCAGAAGAGTGTGGAAGGAGTATTTTCCAGCAGTTGATGGTATTGTGTTCTTAGTAGATGTATGCGACAGACAGAGATTTGCTGAGGCAAAAGCAGAATTAGATGTAGGTACAGCATAACACAATAAAATAAGAGCAGTCAAGACCTATAATGTAGTATAAAAAGAAAGAGTATTAATTTTTCTCATGTTGTATTTCAGAGTTTACTGACAGATGAACAAGTGGCCAGTGCCCCTGTTCTTGTTCTAGGTAACAAAATCGACAAGGCTGGTGCTGCAAGTGAAGACGAGATTCGTCACTGGTTAGGGTTACACGGACAAACCACAGGAAAGGTAAGAATTATAGGTCTCTGATGAATCTTTGTATATAAGAGGTGAATGCTGAAGAGATACATGATAGAGGCAATGACAACACTTAGATTTTTTGTGATTTTTAAAGCTCAACTAGATTTAAAGAATGTAATTATTTTAAGTATGAAAACTCTTCTTTGATTTGAGGAAAAAAATATATAAATAACTAAAAATAAATTTTTAAAAAAGAGTAAAATAATTATATTTATTAGAAGATAATTATGTCCATTTTGGTGTCTTGTGTCCACTAAGAGTAAAGGTAGGACATGTTAAAAATATTACTTAATTCTTGCTAAAATCTTACTTTTCCTATTTAGGGAACTGTGTCCAGAAATGAGCTTCCTGGCCGTCCAATGGAGTTATTTATGTGTAGTGTTCTGAAAAGACAAGGGTATGGGGAAGGCTTCCGCTGGCTAGCTCAGTACATTAACTAAATCACATAGCACACAGCAGAGAGAAATGGTGAACACGGCAAGTCCATCAAACTTTCCACAGAGAGAGAGACATCAAATTTCTTATATATAAAGTTATTGAGATTGACAACTGGAAAAAAAAAAGCCAGCTCCTACCATCAGGGAGAAGGCAGCTCTTTGTGATAATCCTGTCAGCAATTTTTAATGCATAGTTCGTCTTTTTTTTTAAACGTTTGCAAGACGACATCGTTTTTTCCATCTGAAATGTTGTTATGAATTGCTTTTTCATTCAATTCCATTGATTTTGAAGGAAAGAATTGTGCAAGGTAAAAAATTACCTTAAAAATGGGTGTATATTATAAAAAAGAAACTGAGAAACATTATGTGCATTAGAGAGCTTCAGCAATTTATTTTTCCCCTAATGTATTTGTTACCAGTTGTTACTTATAACACGCTTGACACCATGAGAAGTGTTCATCATTTTTTCACCAAATAAAATTTATCAAAGCAGACACAAGTACTAATAAAACAATTTTCCTAGTGTATATTTTATCAGTTATTTGGCATATGTTTCTGTCTATCTGTAAAAGATGGTAGGAAAAAACTACTGTATCTGCTTCGTTTTGTAATCAGTCAACATTCAGACAATGACATCCTACTATGTTTAATATTTATAAATGTCCTGCTACTCTAGGAAAGCCTGGGTGTATATGTTATCAGTTTGTTGTGTTAGGAATCAATTTATTTTTGAGGATGTTTGTTGTAAAGAACTGTAAGAGTCTGTTTTGTAATGTTCAGCAACCCTAAAATTTTGTTTTCAGGACTGTGTTTTGACAGGCCGTTTTACAGTTATCTGCAGTTCTGTTGAAGATGCATGAATGTTTCTGTTTGTAAACTTGAATGTTTAGGATGAATGAGAATAAAATGTCAATATTTATACATAATTCTGTCTTGTAATTTTTGAATTTCAAATGTGCTTTATAGGGCTAAAAACTGGAATTACCATGTTGCAGTGAACATGTGGTGGGTTAATTTTGGCCCCTCAAATGACAAATGAGCGTTGGTCTGTCAGGGTAAAAGTTATAAAAGATGTCTTCAAGGACCTGAAATGTTGATTTGTGACAATTTTCATGCAGCTTTCATGATCATGCATAGAAGATTCATTAAAATGCAATATTTTTCATGACAAGTAGCCTTGCTCAGCTCAGTGGTTTAATGACCTTTCAAGCTGCTAATTACACCCCTGCTCTGAAGGATAGGGGGGTATACTGTTTTACCCTTGTTTGTCTGTCCTTTCTTCCAAATTTCTCAGCAACTACTCATTGCAGATGCTTGAAATTTTAGCACATTCTTTGCTGGGGCATTTCATATGGTAGGATTCATTATATCCCCCGCAAACGAAGTTTGGGGTGTATATAGGAATCACCTTGTCGGTCTGTCCGTCTGTCTGTGCAAACGTGTCCGGTCCATATCTTTCTTACGGAGGGACGTTAAAATCTACTACTCCGCACAAAGATTGCCCATGACCTAAGGGTGTGTCATGACCTTGACCCAAGGTCATTTGGGGAAGTTCAAGGTCACTGGAAGAAAAATTCATAATTTGTGTCCGGTCCATATCTTTCTAATGGATAAACTTGGTAAGTTTTCATTTCACACAAAGATTGCCCATGACCCAAGGGTGTGTCATGACCTTGACCCAAGTTCATTTGGGGAAGTTCAAGGTCACCGGAAGAAAAATTTTATAATTCATGTCCAGTCCACATCTTTTTTATGGATAAACTTGGTAGGTTATCATTTCATGCAAAGATTGCCCATGACATAAAGGTGTGTCATGACCTTGACCCAAGGTCATTTGGGGAAGTTCAAGATCACTGGAAGAAAAATTTCATTTGTGTCCGGTCCATATCTTTCTTATGGATAAATTTGGTAGGTTCTCATTTCACACAAAGATTGCCCATGACACAAGGGTGTGTCATGACCTTGACCCAAGATCATTTGGGGAACTTCAAGGTCACTGGAAGAAAAGTTTCATAATTAGTGTCCGGTCCATATCTTTCTTATGGATAAATTTGGTAGGTTTTCATTTCACACAAAGATTGCACATGACCTCAGGGTGTGTCATGACCTTGACCCAAGGTCATTTGGGGAAGTTCAAGGTCACTGGAAGTAAAATTCATAATTTGTGTCCGGTCCATATCTTTCTTATGGATAAACTTGGTAGGTTGTCATTCCACACAAAGATTGCCCATAACCCAAGGGTATGTCATGACCTTGACCCAAGGTCATTTGGGAACTTCAAGGTCACTGGAAGAAAAGTTTCATAATTCATGTGTGATACATATCTTTATTATGGAAAAACTTCCTTCTGAAAAACCCAGTGGGGGGTATTTTGTCCCGTTTGGACAGTTCTAGTTTTTATTCAAATCTGATGTCAACTACCTGTTTATCCGTGAGTCTGCCTGTACAATACATTACAATTTTTCATCCTGTCAATGTGAAGGACAACTGACTATTAATCCAGTCAAACAAATGCATCGTTTTGTTGTTGAACAAATATAAATCAAAGAAGAAAAAAGATCAACTGACAGTCCCATTTCAAAACGACATTTATTTAATCGAAACTACAATGAAGCGCATTGAAGTGGTAAAATTCTCCGTTTGGATGAAAAGTTCTGAGTCATGTTTTGAAGGTCAATTATAACATAATGACACGCCCATATTTTTAGAAACGAGAAAGTAATATTTGTCGTAGTTTTAGGACATCCCATTCTTCGCGACAAGCATCATGAGTTACACTGAAATGGAGCCTTAAAAAAATTAGAAGAGGGAGTTAGAGACTCCCTGCTTCTGTTAAACACAAATTGCAACGAATATGTACATATTTTTGAACTTATCATGTCTATTGAAGTTATTACAACATGCATGTTTCGGTCGAACACGTGTTTACTCGGTGTTTATTTAGATCCTCAATTTGATTGGCTATTATATTTATGGAAAACCTGTTCTACAGGTATTTGAAGAAACAACTTGACCGTTTTATCAATTTCTAAAGAAATGGGCGTGTCAAAAGATGACAATAAACACTCTAAATATAGCTCAAAACGTTCCATTCGAACGGAAAATTTTACCACTTCAATGCGCTTCATTGTATATTATAACTTCAACCAATAACATGTTGTGTTATGTAACGTGGACAAACTCCTGTCATCAAAATAGCAGCTCCTGACGTGTCACCTGAAAAGAGAATAATGATTGGTTCAATAAAGGGAAGTCCATAATGGATTTCGAAGACATTCAAAAGGTTTAAGGTTCATCATCCCACTGTCCAATCGTAAAATATTGCTTTCGTTTTTAACTTTTTAAATGAAATGTACCTTGTAAGTAAAGTGCACATAACTTCAGTAAATCCTGCATGGCAAAATTTGACATTTTGTCTTTTAACTTGACAATTTTGTTTTATATAAAATTGCATGAAGTATTCGTTTATCTCTCTTGTCGTATGGTCAATGGACCTTAACACTTCCAAAATAACAGCAAGCGTTTTTTATTTTTTTGTACATACAATTCATAAAATAAAGTAATGTACAATAAAAGTTTTTTTCCCCAATCTTACCATTTTTGCTCATTTGTGCAACGTGTCTGCAGTAGTAACACTCTGAATAGTAAGTGTGTTTATCAGCGCCACACACATAGTCAGATACAGTGTGAGTGGTACCACTTATATGTGGGCAGTTGACTGAATTCGTAGATCCGCCTTCCACAGCAATGGATCCCACATGAGACATATATTTGCTACAATCAACCTAATATATAGAAGAAAAATTTTCATCAGAATATAAAAAAAATAGGTTAAAGGAGCGTATCAGAAAAGTGTATTTGAATAGTAAAAAAAAAAAAATTCTTACTGCAATGGTCTTAGTGGGGTCTGAACCGTCACAAGTCCCAGCGTGCTGGACTTCGTATCTTTCCAAGTAAGTAGGGTTGTTGTACTTCAAATATCGGCAATAGGTCTGCTTCAAGATACAGGGGTTTTCTATAAAAAGACAAACGACCCGATTATCGTATGGTCAATTTCATATTTTAAAGCTTTTTGGTTATTTTCCTCCATAATAGTACAGTCGTTTGGCCAGTTCCGGATTTTGGCCAGTTCCGAATAATTAGTAATTTAAGGACTGATGATTAATAAATTCAACGGTGTAAAAATAAATTGATTTCTATGGTAAGAAGGCTTATCTATGAGTGTTTGAATTATGTGAAGTTTTGATTTTTTGCCCTCAGTTTGGTTTCGTTATCGTACTTGAAACAGTTGGCATACTTTTACAATGCAACAAATCTGAATCACCGCGACGCGTAAGTCTGCAGAAAAACCTCTGTAGATGCATAAATTTTTCACATAAAACAACGTTCCAGGTATCAAAAGTAAGTTTGATATGTACTCTAATATATACTAAAAATTTGTCAAAAATAAATATTTAGAACACTGGAAGATATCGAAATATTTTCGTGTTCTTATTTTACCAGTTCCGAATACCCATTTTAAACACTATTATAAATTCACTCTTCGATGTTTTTTTTCATTGTAAACGTGACTTATTATACCCTCGCTTGAAAAACAGGAAGAAGGGGTATAAAGTAATGGGATGTTTGTCCATCCAACCGTCTGTACGTCCGTCCGTCCGTCTAGCTGTACGTCCATCTGTCTGATATGCTCTGGTGTATCCATTTCTTATCCGCAACCCCTCCTCTACCACTGAATAAAGTTTAATGACGCTTCACAGAATTTAATGAGTCTTTCACAGAATCTTTGTTTAACAGTGCCAAAGTGCACCTATTTTATTTTTGGATCTGGTACATAATTTAGGCTCCCTGAGAAAAACATAGATACTGCCATTCTTTGTAATATTGAAAGGTATATCCATCTCTTATACGCAATTCCTCCTATACAACTGAATAAGATTTAATAATACTTTCACGTATTCTTTATTGCATTGTGACATTGTGACCTTTTATTTTACTTTTTGATCTGACATTTATTTCGGGTAAAACATGGAGTTTGTCTTAAATAATCATAAAGGAGGCGTGGGGTATCATTAAAATGAGCTCAGTGCCCACGGTACCTCTAGTTTCTCTTCAACCTTTGGAAATACATATAATTTATTGGTAAGCAATTAATTTAACTTTTCTTAGGCATGCCAATGGATAACGTCTGGGACGTATATTTGTTAATTTAGGGTTGAATTGAAAAAGAATCTCTAGGGTATCCGGAACCCGTCGGGTAAGTTGCGAAATAAATTTTTTTGAGGGAAGTCTGAACTTTTATGAAACAATATTTAATTCCACAAGTCATCGAACTACCTTGACAAAACACTTGGATTTTGATATAATTCCTAGTATATTTATAGCACCATCGAATCGGAACTGGCCAAATAACTGTATGATAAAATGGTTAAGATGCATCAAAGTAGAATACAGACTGTATGTGACATTTGCGTTGCTGCAGACGGGGTCCAGAGTTTCGTCACATTTCGTCGGACATTCGTGACTGGCTTCCAGTTTCGTACAGGGTCCAGTGTGTGACTTGGTCATGTGATCTCCAGCAGCGGCCAAAGCACAAGCTGATTCCTCCAAATGGCACTGACTTTCTGTTAAAAGATAATTGTAAAATTCAATTCCACCTTAGTGTATCAGCACCAATACACTGTAGTAACCAAATTTTAATCATATTCCACCGATTAATTTCAAAAAATTAGAATTCAGATAAACTGGTCAAAGTCTTGACAATATTGGTAACCTTTACGAAACGATCTCCCAATTTACCATTGATTCAAGGTCTAAGAAACCATCCCTTTTGGGTATATCTGCTAAGAAAGCATCTCTATCTAGGTGTGTCGGACATCAAATGATATTCAGCGACCACCAATGGCAAATTTTGCCAATTAATTTTGCTTTTACCAAAGATGTCGACAGTCTTGAATGACAAATACAATAAGTTTAAAGCCAAAGGAATTATTTCAATCACCACGTAATGAAACAATATATGATCTCGGAAACCTCTTATATAAGGCTAGGTTCAACTAACCTCGGTAAGTTGCGTTTTGCTATTTCAACAAGGGTTATCTCTTATCTCATATACTGTTCTTTTATCACAAATATTCTACTTGTTTCTTTTTTTTTTATTTGAATCACATCGTTTCTTACTGTAGGTAACTCCGTCTGTTCCGCAGACTTCTCCGGTTGTCTCCTCCTCGTCGCAGGGTTCTTGTTGTCGACAGTCGTAATGAGTTGGTACTGACACCGGACCACCGTGGCCACCTGATGAGCATGTTCCTGTATGGGCCAGCCCTAAGAAACGGTGGTGAAGTTTGGCTTCACATTCAGCGATCTGTAGTTTGCACATGTTACCTGAAGAAAGAATACATCAATCTTGCTTTCATCTTGATCGAAAGTTTGATATCCAAACTTTGTATTTCTGTCATGTTCTAAATTTTGAATGTACCTGGTGGAAGTGCATGTAAAGTTGTCATAGGTTACTCTAATTTTTTTTTATTTCCTTCCTCCAGGTAAATTAAAGATTTACAACAGGGCATTCCTATGTTTGATAAACTGAATATAAAATCAGTGGTGGGTAGTGGTGCGAAATTTGACTCGCTGTATTCGTAATTGCACGTGATTAACCTATAGACCAAGACTCAACCAAGTTCATCGTATACTACATATAGTACATCTTAAAAAAAAACAGCATGTTGTGTACTTGTTGGTTCCGTAATATTTTATTGAAGAAAAAATCAGAAGAAGGAAAAGACACTATTTTTTAAATAAAAAGACGACGAAAAAAGTAATTTGTCTCCAGAGCATACATGTAAATGAAAAGAGAACTTACTGTATGTTATGTGATTGGTTCCACATACTGGTGAGTACTGGGCTGTACATATCTTCTGACATGCGTGTGGGAGAACCAGCTGGCTGGCAATTGACCCTATACCAAAATAGGACGTTTTTAATATAAAATTAAAACTTATATGCCTATGATGTTAACTTTAATTTTAAATTCTGAATTTTTTAAAGGTAACACTCTTATTTCTTGTTTGAAAATGGAACATAAAGTCCAAACCTTGAACTTCAGGCCTTGTCAAACTGATTTTATTTTTCAGCAAGATACATACATGTATGCATTCCCTTGTATTCCACAATACCAGATTTACGAATTTGTATTAATCTTTTAAAATAATCAGTAAAAGTGTATATAATCAAATTTGGTTTTTATGTACATGTAGTTCAAATGTAGAATTAAATTTTAACCAGTTTATAAAATAACATACCAATGAGGCAGGAAAGAATCAGAAGTTGGTTCATTGCGGTGCTAAGTCTATGATAATGTGAATAGAATTCAACCTTATCAGTTTAGATAGGATTATCGTCAACAATTCGTGACAATTTCTACTACCTTTCGATGGGTCCCAAAGGTGAAAGGTCAATGTATTAACTTAATATTTAGATTACACATTGTATCTCTTAGCTTTCAAAATGAAATTTTATAAAATACTTTTACTCCCAAAAACTGAAGAAAAATTTTTAACTGACTTGATATAGTCAAGGGGCAAGGACAAAAATACTAGTAAAATGCTTCCCAGATGATACTAGTTTTAGTTTTTCATCTAGCTTTGTGATGAAACTTTAGGCGATGGTTCGCTCTTAGTTTTAAAATTCTAGTTTTCATACTGATTTTGATTGATTAATTGAATGCTTGTTGTGTAACTCCCGCTCAAGAATTTTTCACTCAAAGAGAGACGCCACCACTTGCCGATGGACAGCTGTAAAATGAATTTTGTCCTATATGCTCCGCATTTACGGCCATTGAGCAGTGAGGGGTCTTTTTCGTGCCAGCGCCTGCTGCGACATGGGGCATAGGTTTATGAATACGGTCTCATCCACTGTGGGATTTGAACCCACGACGTAATATTACTTTGCGACTTTAGAGCAGACGCTCTAACCACTGCGCCACGCGAGCGACTTACTGATTTTGAGGGCAAAGGATAAAATGTTGAGATGGTTTAATATGATTTTCAGATTCATTCATTAGGAATGGACCCATTGATTTTGAAATTAGAAGGCCAAACTTGTAGTTTCTGAATATTGAATAACATCCTTTCCTTTATAGGAGAGCACATCTAGTGCATGAATTACAGCTTTCTTATTCTTCTCTCCAAGACCGTCATACGGGACGTCAAACGATGCCCATGTTAACGACCCAAACCCCTTTGGCACGCAAAAGACCGCCCTTGTTGTAGGGCAAATAAGAGTAGGCTTAATGGGGACGCCAGGGAGGCTACAAATATTCAAATCCGATCACAGGACATCATTTTTACCGCCAAATATATGACGGAAATGGCGTCAAACAACACTGATAGCCAATCATTATTCTCTCCTGAATAACTTGAGTAAAATATTTATGCACTTGAATTGACTGAACGAAAAAATTTAAACATCAATTTTATTGTTTAATTAAGGGGGGACCTATGTCGTTCTACGTCAAAGCAGCGTTATGTGACGTCACAATAGCGACGTTTGTTTTTTACCTGTTGACTTTTGCAACGGTGATATAGGCATAACCTTGTTAATAATCAATAACGTACACAAACTACAAAAAGAAAATTTATTCATAACAGTTTTATTTGATTTATGGAGTTTGTTAAAATTAGAATTCTCTTCCTTTGGTAGAAAATTCAAGCAATAAAAGTTGTAAAGAAATACCTCGACGATATGCTGATATATAAGTGCAGAAAGATTTAAGATAAAATTCAGCAAAGAAAGCGGCTTAAAACAGGGAAATATGTTTAATTTTATGTTTACCATTAATTGTATTTTCTGGATAAAACTAAGAAAAAATCAAGAAATGTGCTTGTACGTATATTTGCTCATTGATTTGTAGTGCAAGCAGATTTTATTGTATAAAGTCATTCCTAAGATCTAATACATGTAGCTGTTGGTTGTTGACGGGAAAATAGGGAGGGGGGGGGGGCAGAACGAATAGAATGAAGAAGAAAAGAATTAATCTGTTTAAATAATTGTTTCTAATCAAAACGCAATACTCGTTTTTCGAAAAATAGTTTTATATTCAGATGTTTTTCAGTAGCTTAGTAATACTTACCTTTATTTTAGTGCAGAAAGGTCAATATTTATGACATAAGAGTACGAAAATAAAGAAAACCTCATATTTCTCGTTTATTTTATCATAAAGGTATACTTTTTTCTTTGTTAAAATAAAGAGATGAATCGTTTCTTTCAAAAAATATGAATTACAACATTTTCACACAAAGACTTTTTAAGATATTACCTGTTATGCATGTCGAAATTGTAAAAAATATGACAATAAAAACGGGGTGATGCTTACATTGTGCGCCTTTAAAATTTTTCATGCGAAATATATTTCAATGAATTTACCTTCATTTTAAAGATACAAGTCATATAGATTAAATACATGTTGATTTCGAATGTGATTTGATATTTTTGGTACTTATTAGCGCATATTTGGAGTAGAACAAGAATGTCTGAAAATAATCTATTTTTAGCCTTTCACACTGTTTTTGCACGTGCTCCTGTCTAAAAATAAGCATATAAAGGTATTGTTTTTAATACCTAAATATTAAGAGCAAGTGGTCAGGAAAGAAATGTCAAAGTTTTGAAAATTTCACACAAAGACTTTTCGGACATAGGTCCCCCCTTAATGTGAAAGAAATCAACGGGCAATAAAAACGATAAAAATTTTCAATAAATAAAAAAGCACTTCATTTAAAACACGTCTCCTGAGTCAGTTCTTCGTATCAAAACATTGCGTGATTTGTGGTTTCATAGACCTAAGATTAAAATAAACAATAAAATATTGGTTTCATCAACTGGTTTCAGTCCGTATGGGGTACTTTAGGTCAATACAGAAGTCGGGAACATTTCCGTTTCCTTTGATTTCAAGTTTGTTGTCATAGAGATACGCGGTGCCAAACGGGTTATTGTCTATTGCCTCTATAACTCCTGCCAGTGTTATATGATGAATTCCTGATTCGTCCAAGTCAAATCCACCATCGTGGTCGTGGCCACTGCAATAACACAACACACAGTCTTTGTTGGCCTCAAGAACTTGTAAGATCTCGTCATAGTTCCAAAGCAGATTTGCCGCATGCGCACTGCTTTCCAAAACTGGAAGGTGACCTTGAATAAAAATATAAACCATTAGAAAAGTTAGATATCAACTGAAGAGGAGATATAAATTTCATGTCATAGCAAAAGAGATTGTTCAAAGATATGAATATTTACCAATTACGATGACATTTTGTTTCTTTCTTTTGGCCTCTTCAAGCTCCTCATCCAACCACTGAACCTGTCTTGTAGAGCATCCGCCATTGTACTTCACAAACCTTTTTTTTAACCCCACGAGACCTTCTGGGCTGTTCCAAGTGTCATTCTGGTTTATCGCACCTAACGTGTTCCATGCTTGGTCGAAATATCTGTAAGATTTATCAACTCCTAGCAAACTGACCTCATAACAATCTAGCGCAACAAGTCGGAGTCTTGGATGCAGGTCAACTGAATAATACGCACAGTCGGGAGGTGAATTACATTCCTCTTTTGGTCCTAACTCGGAAGTCATCAGAAATTTACGTTCAAAATTGTACAGTTCGTGATTCCCCCATACATGATAAACATCCTTCTGTAATTCATTAAAATTATTCAGAACTCGTTGTAAACAAATATCAGATTTCTTCTCAGAGAAGCATTTCCCGTCTATGATGTCACCAAGTTGGAGTACGCTGTCTATTTTCTCTTTCTTCCAAACGTTAACGGCTTCCTTTAGTAGCGTCAGTGAACGGCGATAAAATCTCTCGTTGGTCTTGCTGAAATTGAATCCGTTTTCGGAGTCTGCGTATTGCACGTCTGCTATTAGTCCAAATTTGTAATGGGGTAGGCGTCTAGCAATGTTAGCCATCCCTCTCACCTGCTAAAAGAAAGGAAAAGCAATCTTGGGATGAAGAAAATGATTTTACAGATAGACAATTCATAATTGATCATAAAACAATATATTGTTTTTATAACATAAACAGCATGCGAAGAAAAAATATGTCTACACATTTAAAAATGTTTCCGTGGTTACATCTTTTAAAGCTAAAGATTGGAATATATAAAGTTAAATGAATACTTTTTTTAACATTTCACCTTTCAATTTCTAATGTTATGTAGAAAAATCCCAGTGTGGTCAATTTATTTTAAATTTTGCCTATGGTCAGGGACGAAGGCAATGCACAAGTTTACATAAGGCAAAATTTACCTAGGAGTTAAATATGACGCGGATAATGATCTAAGTGACACTGAGTGACTAGATACATATATAATTAGACGTAATTAAATGTAATCATAATTATCTTAATCTATAATCAAAAATAGAGTTTTTATTAAATATTGAATTTTAATATGCTGTAAATATTTTTCATATGTTAATAAAATGTAAACTTTAATATTCTTAAACTTACTCTTAAAACAATTCGACAGGTATTGTTTTAAAGGCAGTTAAAATATACAACAATTTTCAATTCAATGATAGGATATTTAAAGTTCATTCTATTTTAACTTCAAATATAGTACAAGCAGAGGATTAAAAAAAAAATCGTATTTGGTTATATAATAAATAATTAAAATATAATTCATTTGCAATCAATGAAATTGAAAATTTTAAATGAATGATATATAAATGAATTAAATTTAATGAATTAAAAATCTAATATAATATATATTTTTCAAATTAAGCCCATTAATCATTAATTTTTAAAATATATATACGCGATTACATATTTAAACGTCATACTAGTATTACCTTAACGACTTAATTGTTAGACATGTAAATATAAACAATATATGTCTTTATTGCACAATGATTACTTCAACATCTGACTCACGACCTCCACGCACCTGTTATGACGTGGAACTGTTTTTATGACATGAATTGGACACCATAGTAAATAAAAAGAAGATGTGCCCATGAACGTTACTTTGTGATGTTTTAGATATTTTGTCTCATATTTGGTAAATATAAATTCAAAATGATTTACTCACGAAAACCCTGGACCCTTTCTCTATAATACAGGTTGTCTAAAATCGTGTTGAAATAAAAATAAAAGTGACCATTCATCTGATATGGTAATTGCATAGTCGCAATAAAGCAAGATTATTCCCCTTGTTAGAACTCTTCCTTGTTCTAATGTAAACACAAAAAATGTCAGAGGCAGAGATGTTTCAGTGTTTATAAGTAGGTGTATATATTTTTTTCAACAATTAAAGATGGAGAGTGCCTACATGGTTAATATAGTGATCCTTTAGTCGTAAAAGATTTATTTTCCAAAAGCTACAATGCAGTCTATACAGTGTTGTATATTATGTTGCAACCTATTAAATTACAAAATTTTAATTTTTAACTGTGATTTTGAACTTATCGATACGAAATGACATTGCATCAAGGTCATGACACACCATCAGGTCATAGAAAAATCTCTTACAAAATATGAGCCTCAGATGATTCTCCATTACAATCAAATTATATTGCCTATACACAAGCCCCTGTGCTTTAACGTTAGATTTATTCTTCAAAATTACAATCAGTGTGCACATTAGAAAATTAAAGACCTGTAATGAACTTTACACATTTTATACCAGTGACCTTGAACTTGCTGAAATGACTTTCCATCAAGGTCATGTCACACCCCCAGGTCATTAAAAATCTCTTTTACTCTTCACCATTACAAAGGATACATTGCCTAGACAAGAATTTCACACTTTTCTGCTAGTGACCTCTAACTTTCGGGAAATGAATAACCTTAGGTCAAGGTCACAACAAATTTGAAGAATATTAGCAATTTTTATACAAGCTTCCAGTGATTGTTCCTATTAAAGTTATACCTTAACATTTTTTTTTTACCTTTCTGCAAGAACCTTGAACTTTGGTGGAATGACCTTGGGTTAAAGTCTCAACTTACCCTTGTGTCAAAAGCATTCTCTGTATCAATTACAAATTTACAGTGAATCTCCACTACAAAATTACATTATATTGACTACACAGAATTTTATACCTTTTCTTTCTTTAGACAAACCCTTGGATCAAAAGCAGTCTTTATACTAAATATGAACTTCCAGTGAGCTATCATGAAATCAAAGATTCTAGATAGACAAAAATTTTATACTTATTCTGCCAGTGACCTTGAACTTGCTGAAATGACCTTGTGTCTAGCATGAAACTGTTGGATAATATTAGCAATTTTTAATCCATGTACCAAGTATGAGATTGCAGTGTTCCTTTATAACAATATTTAGGCTGGACAACATTGCACTGACAGCAAGATAGATAAGGTGATTCCTTTTTTCCCCCAAATTTCTAAACTTGTTGTTATAAAAAAAGTTGGGATGGAAATTACACCATTAAACTTTTTCAACTTAATCATGCTGCAGACCTGTGGCTATATTCATATATCTTTGGTATTATTGTATATACATATTATACAAACATTGTGAGAGCAAATACTATTGTCCAATTCCTCAGTTGACTTAATTATAAACCACAACTGTTTTCCTGCAGGAGTGTTTTGTCTGCCAAGTGGATGAGTTTAAACACACATCAAAGAGGAGATTCCAGGTACATGACCATGACATTGTGATCATTCAACAACAAGGGAACTTTTTTGCCCTCGATAGCTTTTGTTATCGTAAGTCATTATCATCATTCCTTTGTCAAGTGTTACATTTTGAATATTTTCATTAATCCTTGATGGCATTATTTATGTACATTGCATTTTTTCTATCTTAGATGCAGGGGGACCCTTATACATGGGAGATATTGAGGTAAAATTGCCATTTTTTCTTTTACATGACATTTTCTTATGTGATGTTTTCGAGGTTTGAGATATTTTGTTGGGATGACATTTTGTTGATTGATAAATATATAATTTACATTTCATGGTGGTCATAATAATTGTTTTAAATAGCCAAAACATTCATATTATTCTTAACATTGATTTTCAGTTTTATTTTTTCAGGACTTCAATGGGCTCTCTTGTTTGGTTTGTCCTTGGCACAAATATAAAGTCCACATAGAGAGTGGAAACATGATGTACCAGGTATGCCTGAAGAATGTATAACATGTACATGTTATATATATATATATAATAAAGATGTGAATTTCATAGGTAAAACTAACACAACATATTTTTTTCACTTTTGATTTATAGTCAATAGATCCTCATAATCCGAAGAAACCCCCAGTGTGGAAAAGCAGTGGCCAAAAGCAGCGACTACATCGAGTTACAGTACGGGACAAAAGTTTGTATGTCACCTTCACAGACTGTACGGGGGACCTCCAGTCAGACCAGTATAACACCAAGGAGTACCGACAGAAATGGAAAGATAGTAGTTAAACCCATACAAGTGATATCAACCAACCGTACACGAAATGTCAAATATTTTTTTTATCCTATTTAAGGGATCACTGTGGTACACCAAAAACTGTGGGAACTTGGAATCCTTCAGTGCTGTACTTGGCAGCATACCTTGTCCACAGAGGTTTAGGTACTGATTGCCCATGCCATCACCAGTACCAATACCAGCCTTTACACATTAATCCATGCTTTACTCAGCAGCATACGATGTCCCCAGAGATTTGGATACATGACCATCCATGTCATCAGCATAGCCAATGTTGAAAAAGTGAGACAATACAATACGTTCAACAGTTCTGGAACATTTGAATCTCTCATTGCTTTTTCATAAAAAAACTTGCAAATACTCCTTATAGAAATGAAAGATTGTATGAAGTTAATGAAACTTGGAAATTATAAACTGTATATAACAGGTACCAATTACCTGCCTTTAATTCTTGATTAAAATTAATATAAAGTGATGTCATGTTGGCATGTTCAACACTGTAAAACATTAATAAATAACCAATAAATAAATAAATGATGAAATAAAGAGATGAAACCCAAAATTTTAATTGGTCAACTTTATTGGTCACACAACTGCACAGCTTGAAGTGTACCTTAATCAATGACTAATAACAAGCATAGGAACTTTATACACATACATAATGCAGAACATCATATGTAATATCGTACAGTCCTCTTATAAAGAATATTATTTCTCATAATTAAAAAAAAAATCCTCATGATTATAACACTTCTGAAGAAAATGGAGTAGGTGTAATGAAAAATGTAAATTCCTTTTGTTCTTCGATATATATTAATGTTAAATAACCTTACCATTTATTCATGGATGATATAACTTAATAATGGGTATGTGAAGTTGAACAACAGAACATCACAACGGAAACAAAAATATCTGAGAAATCCTGTACAGTTTACGTACATTAGCTGATTAGCTGAACTTGAGGCATACATTGAAAAGAAAAAAAATCTGTTTTGAAAGCAACACACCTTGGAGTTTTTTGCTGTAAACCCTAATCAAATTACTGTGGGAGCCATATTAAAATAACAGTCCGTCAACACATTTATTGTGACTGTAATTTGGTAAGTTTATAACTTAACATTTTTAAATGTTATAAATAAATATTTTTTAATGAAAGACACGATAAATTTTGTAGTAATATTGCTTTGTCTGTTTAATGGTCTATCTTTTATTTATTTATTGTAACTAAATAATTCTAAAAGATTTCACGTACATGTAATTTCAAAAAACAAAATCAAGAATTGGTACCGTTTATACACATGTTTGACCACTTGAATACTTATTCCTAAATCTTTGAAGTTCTGTGAGTGAACAGCAATTATAAATAAAGAACCAGAAAAGAAAACATAAAATTGATCAATATGAAAAAAATAAATATGATACATTAAAGTTACTTCAATGAGAAGAAGAAGACAAAACAGAATACACATGTAATTCAAAGTATTTTGAACAAGGTCAAGCAAATAAAAAGTTATGTATGATATGGTTTCCTCCTAATAAACATATTATTTTTCCAATTCTTTTTTTTTTTTATTGTTATAATGATTAGTAAATAATGGTTAAAAAATATACTTTTCTCTTCAATAAATATCACACTATCACAGGAAATGACTTTTTTTCGTTGAGCAAAGGAAAAATTCATTTTCTAAAACAGCATTTTTTTACTAGTCATTTTAAAAATGAATCCAACAGTATAGAATGTGTATTGCAAAGAGTACTTTATGTGTGTGTTAATGTCTGCAAATGCAATATTGTTAGAGTAGAATACAATGCAAGAGTTTTCCTGAGAATAAATACACAAGAGCATATTATCATCAAGCACTATTTGGACTAGCAAACTTTTTACCTCATATGAATACATGTATTAATATGTTATATTTTTAAGCTTTTCAATATGTTAATTTACACCCTTCAATATGTTTACTCAGCATTTTAAATTGTTCAATATCAGTTGTTTTACTTTGTTCAATATGTAATGTGCTGTTTCACATTTGACATGCAGTATATGATTTTACATACATGTATTTCAATGACTCAAAATAAATGCATGATTTCACATTAGACTTGGTCTCTCTCTCTCTATCTCTCTTAGGTATATACATGAACACAATACACACTGTTGTATGATTTAGTATGGTATCTAAAGTACTGAAGGGGAATAGAGTAACAAGAATGTTTAAAAGTGATATACATGTATGAGATATGGAGCTGACATAGTTGATAAAATTGTACTCTGTCTCCTATTTCTAAAAATTCCGTACCTATCCTAACCCTGTATAGCAGTACTATAAAATAACAATATTAATTTTCTTTATTTCTATTTTACATCTTATAAAATTTCTGTTCTTTCCAAAAAATAAATTATATTTACAAAAAGATCTATTAATCAGATATACTGGTATTGAGATCAAGTTGAGTGACAAAGATTAATATGGCAATTATATATAGTTGCTTCACTTCATCACATTTACAGGATAAATTATCCTTCAGAGTCACTAAAAAGTAAAACTCCTACCATTGTTTTGTTCATTTTTTTTTCAATATACTGAGAAAAGGTTACAGTCCTGTGAAAAATGCAATGCATTTCTTTTATTTTGTTCTTCTATTATTTAAAGTCTCGTACTATTGAGATCCTAAAGAGGCTGTACTATTTATGAAGCTTTTTTTTTAAAAAATATGATAAAAAAGGTAATTGTGAAATTTTTTGTAAAAAGGCATTAACTCTACATTAATTTGATAAAAGGGCATTAACTCTACATACAAAAACAAATAGATACAAAAATATCAATGATTTGTAAGCTGGCCCTATTTGCATTAAACATGAATGGCACAAAGTGTACGCACAACATGTAAATAACAAAATATTCAACTCCTTTAAATCTCAATATTTACAATCACATGAACAAACAAAATAATCAAGTCTTTGTTCATTTCAATATGAAATTATAATAAAGCAAGTACATGACAATGATCTTGTGGGCTACATTTACAACTATCATATATGATGAATACAAATTCCCACCTTGACCTCACTGGCCTTTTGACCTATTGACCCCTTTGACTCAGACAATTAAAAGGTTTAAATTTTTTTGTGACATTGTATTGCTTGCTACGTGTTTATGTTGCGAGTAATTTTGAATGATATTAATAATGCCATAATCTTTATATATTTTGAATACATGTTCATGTATCTTGAAAAATAGTAAAAATATATTGAGAAAGAGTGCATTCAATAACATTTACTAGAATTACCGATTGAATTTTGTGTTATTGCACTGAAAGCAAACATTGACCAGTACCTGCTGGCCTAGTAAGCCAACAAAAATTCAAGGACATTTTCACTTCACAAATTTGCCATATAATGCCACCAAAACAGGTTATATATCCAAACAATTTAAGTAAATCATGAGACAAAGTTTAAATGAATAAAAAAAAAACTAAAAAATATGGTGGTAATATTACACACTGGTTTGATCAAATGAAACAATATTGTCGGCTCATATTCCATGGCGAGATCAAAATTATTAACAACATCCAACTAATAACTTAGTGTTTTACAACCCAGGAATGTGGTCTACAAAAACTATTGCAAACACTCAACACTGATAAATTTTAACCTAGACATCTTTATCATGCATTATATCTTATGCATTTAAATGCAAAAAACTAAATAATGCAAAAATTATTTTCAATAAAAAAAAACAGAAAAAAATAGTCTTTATAAAACATATCAAATGAATGTGTAACACTTGAATATGTATTTAAGTTACAAAAGTAACATGTATGTGGTATTAAAGCTAAATTACAACAGATCATGAAGAATATAGATAAATGTTTTAAAGTTTCACAAATCACATGTTGATAGGATAATGGGACAAAAAAATATTTGAATTGATATTAAACATCAAATGAATTTGTGAACCACACTTAACCAAACATTTATGTTAACTTTGGAATTGATAAAGATATGATTATCTTCAAGAAAATCAGTTAATAATTAAGCAGTAATTTTTTTTTGAATGAAGAATGGATACCAAAATATCTAGGGATATATTTCAAATTAAAGACAGAAAATGTACTTGTTTATTACTGTTATGTTTTAAAAGATATGGATAAAGAAAGGGAACTGAAAGTTAGCTTGATACAGTATAAAACTCTTGACCAAGTTGAATGTCCTTTTTACCAAGTTAAAAGTTGAGTTTGAAATGAGGTCAGCCTGGTGGTATCCAGTAAGCAAAAGCCTCGGAGTTAAATTGAGATGTGCTTGAATTGTTGAGTTTGTGATGAATCGGGGCACTGACCCAGTGGTGATGGGTTGGGGCATTGTCCCGGACGGGTCAGGAGACCTGAGTCATCACAGATAAAGTCTGATAATGTGATGTATCGGGGCATTGTCTCAGGGTGATGGGTCAGGGCATTGTCCCAGAGTGACGGATCAGAAGACCTGGGTCATGACTGGTAGAGAAGTCTCTGATAATGTGATGTATTGGGGCATTGTCTCAAGGTGATAGGTCAGGTCACTGCCCCGGGGTGACGGGTCAGGAGACCTGGGTCATGACTGGTAGAGAAGTCTCTGATAATGGGGAAACACCTCTGTGTCTGGGATATGTAGGGAGAACTCCAGGGCCACCAGACAGGCAAACTCAAACACTAGCAGCTCCTTCCTGTGTAATCGAAAATCTTCCTCAATTTGCTGAAAAAAGAAAATACTTTGTCAAGAAATGTATAATGTATCATCTCAAAAAGCTTAAATGTTCCCCTTCTGTGAGAATTCTTGCCTTACTGCAAAAATAAAAATAAATTATGTTTCATTATTATGTTTTACATATATTTAAAAAAATTACTCACCTCTATGAGCTTACTTAGCTCCGCCCCCTTGATGTCACTCAATTTGGCAGCCAATAGAAGACAGGCTCCAGCACATAACTTTCTGTTCTGTTTATTAATCATCAGCTGAAATAGACCAAGAACAAATGGTGAATACTTTCAATAAAAAAAAAATCCTCCAATTGGGAATCACTTTTTAATAATGATTACATACCTTCAAGATCAATTTCTCAAAATATACGTAAGCTTGGGCAACGATCCACAGGTCCAAACCACACTGGAAAAATAAAATATGACATAATGAAGAATTAATGCCTACATTCACAAACATGTTTACTTTGATAATTTGACTTGGGGAGAATTTTTTTTGTTTTCAAGAAATCTAACAAATGCAGTTCAGATAAACGAGTTCATTTACATAACAATTGATTCTAATGTACAGGTATACTTACCTTTGTATTTGCTATCACTTTTAATTCTCTTTTAAGGCTGAAAAGCAATTGGAATCTTAACATGTTTTTGTAATGAAATACATTTGTTTTTTAACATTTACATTGTAATACAACATTAAAATATGATGGACTGACCTTCTCAATTTAGTCAAGGTCAACTGAATGGCTGGATACTTTTCTCTAAACTTCTCATTAATTTCTTTCTTAAGTGTTGAAGGTTTCACATAGTCTATCACCGATGTCTAAAAATAGGTGGAAAAAACGCTTCATATTTCAAGATAAACATATGGCAGGAAATATACTGCAGTACAAAGAAATCTTGAAGTAGTATTTTAAAATATTTTTAAAATTATTTTAAGCTTTGGAGTAAAATGTCATTGGTTCTAAAATCAGATAGGAAAAAAATAAGCAGTATGTGGGCAGAAGATGCAGTTGATTTGAACTTTTCTATCCAGTTAGGGAAAATTAACAACTTTCAACAGAAACCTGAATGCAAGTATGTCCATTCATCCTTGGTTCAAGCATCAATTTCACTCCAAATACAGAAAATCCACTCACCACATAAGATGAAAATGTAAGAAGAGTCTTGTAGCTCCCACACTGGAGTTCTCGGTCATCAAGAATGTTTGGGTCATACCAGTCAGGGTGGGGGGTGGCCTCCTCTGGAACTGGAAAAATAAATACAGGAAAATGAAAAGACAGAAAACAAACACAGGCAATAAATAACCAGCTTATTCAATCTCAAAATGCTCTGTTGCATTCAATGAATAATCTTTTATTTACAATATGAATTGCTGACACATGCACATATAACATGTAAGCAGTCTGTGCTTGCTCATTATAATCTAGCGCAGGAACTATTTGCAATCATGATCTAAAATTTATACGCATGAATTTGAGATGGCAGTGCTCTGAAAAATTTCAAATGTCATAGTTTATACACATTCCTAAGGAGATACAAAAATATGCATAGAATTACATTGTACATGTAGCTTATGCATAAAGTTATAAAGAGTTCATTATTTTTAAATTCTTAACATTAGAGTACTGTAGATTCCTTATTTTTCGCAAGTACTTTTTCTCACGAAAAAGCTATTGAACAGCAAAACATGAGAATAATATTTCATGATTGGATGGTTGATCTAGAGAATTTACATGTATTTCAGCATCATAAAAATAAAAGCACAATATTCTATTTCACCAGTGATGCTTCTCAAGCAATTACACAATTATAATTGATTCCTCGCGTATAATTTGGAATCTACTGCACCATACATCTATCAGTAAATTTATTAAATCTACAACTAATCCTGTACATTACTAGTGTTGTTATGTGTTACAGATATAACTTCAAACAATTAAAGGGGAGAAATATTAGAGTTTTGTCATGATATAATTTTATAATACATTTAAAGGTATATATGCATAGTTAGCTGCAAAAACTTCTACTAAAATGATTAACAAATTATAAAGAACATCACAACTCAAGTATAAGGAAAAACTTCTTTTTTCATAATTATTTACGCTTTCACTAGTTAATTTTCAACTAAATAAACATAAACAATGAAGTTTTTTTGTTTTAATCAGAAGCACACTAAGCTAAACAGAAGTCTCTGTCGAGAATGTAGCTCTACTGGTTTGTACTTATAATAAAGAAAGAGAAAAGTAGCAGGTGGGACTTAAAACTTTACAAGCTAGAGCAATAAATAGATTAATGATCCTTGATTAAGTCTCTTTTTGAGGCAAGATTGCAATAAGACTACAACTGTAGGAGAAGCTTTTCATAAAATTTTACAGATTGTTCAATTTAAATTACTATGGCAACATAAATCATCAAAATCCAAAACACAAAACTGATAATTATGTATCTCAGTGTAGTTTGCTTGTGTGTCAAGTTATATTAAAATCAGACCAAAACTGTGGTAGGAGTAGCATTTTGAATGTATTTCAATTTTTAGTAACCATGACAACACCGTTCATGGAAATCAAAAACTGATAAATAGAATTATGTATCTTAGTGTAGTCTACTTGTGTGCCAAGTTATATTGAAATCAGGTTAAAACTGTAGGAGGAGTAGCATTTTGCATGATTTTCACAAATTTTTAGTAACAATGGCAACACCGTTCATCGAAATCGAAAACCGATATACAGAATTATGTATCTTAGTATAGTCTATTTGTGTACCAAGCTATATTGAAATCAGACCAAAACTGTAGGAGGAGTAGCATTTTGAATGATTTTCACAAAAATTTCTATTTTTAGTAACCACGGCAACACCGTTCATCGAAATCAAAAACCGATAAATAGAATTATGTATCTTAGTGTAATCTACTTTTGTGCCAAGTTATATTGAAATCAGACTTAAACTGTAGGAGAAGTAGCATTTTAAAGGATTTTCACAAAAATTTCTATTTTTAGTAACCACCGCAACACCGTTCATCGAAATCAAAAACCAATACACAGAATTATGTATCTTAATGTAGTCTACTTGTGTGCCAAGTTATATTGAAATCAGACAAAAACTGAAGGAGGAGTAGTGTTTTGAAAAATTGTTTACAGACGGACAGACAGACAGCTAGACAGACGGACGGACGACGGACACATTACTATCGCATAAGCTCTTCTGGTCTCTGACCAGTAGAGCTAAAAACGTAAGGACTAAAATAAAATAAAATAAAAGAACCCAGAAAAAACTAAATACATGGACTACAGGAAGGCAGGTCTACAAAAGCAAATGAAAGCACACTAAACCCTGCAGATCTTCTTGTATGGTCAAAACACTACTATGAATGAAAGTCAATGGCCTCTATATTGGGATTCATGATTTAAAATCTCAAAATAATTATTTGGATTACCGGTATTTATTTTTTTTATTTCCTGATATTCTTGAAATTGATAATTTCCTCTCCTTAAAATTTTCACATGATTTAGGGTCATTTTCAAGCGTGGGAACATTTTGAATGGTACATGTATTTCCCCAGACAAGAAGATCTGTTAGCACCTGTCCACTACTCTGATACCTTTCTCCAGAGAGGGGGCGTTGGAGGGTCGATGTAGGAGCAGATTGGGGTCATGTGACCTACTCCGAGCCAGCTCCCGACCTGTCAGATTTCACTTGTACATTTATATTTGCTCACAGATGATGTGGTGTGTTTTTAATAATTTAAGGACAGATGATATAAACATATCAATTTTAAAAATCACAAAAAAAATAACATCTTAAGCTATGTTTCAATAAGTAAGCTTTTGTAGGAATTTCAGTTACATGTACATGTAGTCCTTGTGTACATGCACATTCATCAAAAATTTTAAAAAATTCACATAACGTGTAATAATTAAAAATTTTAGTCAATGCACAATCACCATTATTTTAATATAAATTAATTTTGGTTGCAAATTGTCATTTGATTGGATAAAAGATTAAATTTAAATTATATACCAGCTAGGTTGCTCATGTCACAATGACTTACGTTAAAGATGTCTTATTCAGCTTATAATGTTATTCTTTAAAGATGTAATTTATAAAGAATGTTTTTAATTGCTAACCAAGTTGAACTGGAATACCCTGGGTTGGAACAGTTTACTCTTTTTTTATCAACCGCTTCTTGGTTTATAAAGCATAAACTACCCCAAACCAGGTTATACAGTATTATTTGGGTAGCTATTATATTCATTTATCATTCCTTATGTAAAACAAGTTTTTCTTCTTCGCTAATGTGTAGTTATATGAAATCAGTTATAACATAGGCGTAGTCACAGGGGGGGCAGCGGGGGCACTAGCCCCCCCACTTTCAGATCTGGGGGGGCAAGAGTATGTCTGTGCCCCCCCACTTTTTAAAGAAGAAAAAAATCACAGCAATTTTTCCCCAACATTACCTTTACTATAGGAAATATTCATTGAATTGAAAGTAACTTGCCTTTAAAAAAGTTCGCCTCACCCCCCCCCCCCCCCCCCCCCCCCCCCCCCCCCCGAAATAGGATTTTCGAGTTTGTGGAACTTTCAATTAAATTTTCTTTTTTTTTTTTTTTGCTTGTCAAAGAATTTCTGGAGTTGAGCCCCCCCACTTTTAATTTTTTTTTTTTTTTTTTTTTTTTGCTTGTCAAAGAATTTCTGGAGTTGAGCCCCCCCACTTTTAAGTTTGTGACTACGCCTCTGTATAAATATTAATCAAGTACAAGAATAATATTCTTAAATCATATTTTGTTATTCTTACATAAATCTGTTGAAGAATTGACACTGCATTATATAATTCTGTAATTGTGTGTAAAGTGCATGTTATTAGCAAATCCATTACTTGCTAGTCAGTGCATCAACTTTAAGACTCAGTTATATAGAGTCTGAAATGATCTTTATTTATATATGTACTAGCTGTGGAATATTTTGTAAAATTGGCATCCAAAAAAAAAAATTGTAACAGCTGACAATACAATTACAATGTACTATATTTTAGTCTGTATTTTCCATAGGTTTCACAGATCAAAGCAATTAAGTAAAATAGCAAAATATAGCAAATGACTTTTTACTTTTCCTTTATATGCTTATACCCTAATACATTTATATCATTTGTGGGAGGGTATTAGCAGTTCCTTATCCCACATGATCATTGATTAATTCTATATACATGAAAACAAGAGGCTAAGTTTATATTATATTTTGGAAAAAAAAATAATTTCATTCCTAAATAGTTTTAAAATGTACGATGAACATAACAGATATTTTAACAAAGAACTGGGTACGGTATATATAACGAGGCGGCCCTGTCTCTAAATTTGATTGAAGTTTTTTACAAACATGCCCACGATGTGTCCTTTCAAAATCATTTTATTTTTTGGAATTATCTCTTACCGTTTTTCCACCAGAGGTTTGGGAAAATGGTGCATTTTCTTCAATAATTACAACTTTTGACGTAACGATGTCATCACGACGTTACTGATTTTAACGTTACGTGAAATGAAAACTGTAAATTCTCTTAACCGAGAACTATTTACTTAATCCTGCAAATATTCCAGTAAACCATTTTGAACTATCTTTCAATTCATCATACATCGTTGATAGTTTGAAATAGTTTAATAATTTTCAGAAATATATAATTTTTTGACAAACGATTGCAGCAAACACGCTAGTCTACGAAACTTTATTCATCCAGATGAAATGAGGTGAGTACTTAAAAAATTGAACGTATAGTTTATGAAGTTGGCAATTTTTTTTGGCAATGAAAAAGCAGATCTCCCCCTTTCATTCCAACAAATGACAGCCCTATACGTGTTGGGTCTTTTTATGAACATATTAATTACTCCCTATTTTGGGGTTATATGATATGCCTCCTTCAATTTTCTTTGATTTTAGATTTTTACCCTCGGTTGAAAAGTGGGAGGGTATATAGTGATCGGGATGTCTGTCCGTCTGTTTCGCTTTGGGGGTACCTCTCTTTTATGTTTTGCCGTTAGAAACCCAAAACATGTGTCTGATCAAAAAGTAAAATAAAAGGTGCACAATGGCAATTTGTTATTAAGATTCTGTGAAAGTTTCATTGAAGAGCCATAGCGCATTTGATAGTCACTTTCGCCTACTCTAGTAGTGATTTTTTAAATTCTTTGTTTAACCAAAACTTTGTCATACAATGTTTGTTTATACATGCCTTAAAGCAACTCACACAAAAATAATACCCAATTATTAATAGTTCCCTCATATGATAGTTATAAAAATCGTTCAGTTTATATGGAAAATATAGTAAACACTGAGGTATCCCCCTAAACAATGACAAACTGTAGGAGAAGACCATCCTTAACCAGAAAAACAAATTCTGAATAATTTTGTTTGGATATGACTGCACTTCATTACATCTAGATAATTTTGGTTAAAGGTTGTCTTCATATTGAAAATGTTGAAAATATGTATTTAATTTTTCTTCTAAAATTATTTCACAATTCAACAATCTGTCTTCATTTTATCCAATTGATTACAATGACTTCGTGGCGTAGTGGTATGATTGCTGGATTGAAGACATAATGATCGTGAGTTCGAGTCTCACAGTACAGTGCGTGTTACTTACTTACGATTTTTTTTTTCTGTGTGTGCATTTTCATATGTTTTCTTTTATTATTTTATAATTCATGTATAAATAATTTTTAAAAGAGATATATAATGCAACATAACACATTGAAAGTATCTATGGGGAAAAACAGTCTTAAACTATTTTAATGACCCAAAGTCATAGCAGGTAGCCTGTTTTATCTTCAAAATTTTCAAACAATCTTGTTTAGAATAAGAGTATTGGACAAGTAAAATTACTGTCATGCTACAAACTTGCAACTATGAAAATATAACACTGGTTCACAAATGATTACATATACATGTAGTTTGATTTTGAATTGAAAAGGTGCATGTATCTATAAATAGAAACAGGTGATTTCCTTTTAAATACTCGAGTAGGCCGAGTCGTCGGTAAGGCAGCTATGGCTCTTTCATTCAGTGGTATAATAAGATATGCGGATAACAGACGGGTACCCTTAAAGCGTAACAGACAGACAGACGGGTGGACATATGGATTACTATAACCCTCCTGATTTTCAAGCGGGAGGTAAAAAACACGAATTTCCGGGAAGGGATCCCAGAATTTAGTAGTTCAATGTAGTAGTACTGTCTAACAGGCATGATTTCCTAGACTTGTAGAAATAATTATTATACTATATTGTAATGTTATGTGTATGATTTACATAGTTTATCCACCTCAGCTATAGAAGTCTGTGCGTTTTGTTTTCTAAGCAATGCGCAGTCACATGCGTTGATATCGGCTGTAAACGATCTACCAACGGTCAAAGTCGAGAGGAGATCAACAGAAAATAGGAAAGGACTGTCTCTAGTTTGAAATTAAATTCTTGATATAAACTTGTTCATTGGTAGTCATAATTGTACATCTTGATAAAATTCCCCCCCCCCCCCATATATTTTTCTATTTAAATGAAGCAAAATACAAATAATTGAAATGCAGAATAACAAAACACTTAATCTAAAAATAGATGAGACACATATTGAGACACTTTTGCAGTTACAGGTATGTTATTAATATACGGAAACTAATGTTATTTTGTGTCGTGTGGGCACCGTCACTACTGCCTGCATTTTTTTTTTACAGAGTTAGGTGTGTCGTTCCCGAATTACCATTAGAAAGCGAGATTAGGTTTCTAACAAGATAAGTTGTTTTTTTTTCTTGAAAGTTGTTTTTAATGAAAAATTCTTTTAAAATATACCTCACAAACAGCTGACATGTATTACGTCATTTACGTGACTATACATCTACTGAGACAAAAACTGCTTAAACACAGACATTTTTTATATTGATTATGCTTTACAATACCTCCTTGATGTAAATGTTTATAGATATTTGATAGATTTCAGTGACAATTATAATTTCAATTCCAATCCTGTCGCACTTCCTTTGGAAACATTCACTTTCTGGGGTCTTCGCAATGTTTTACGTCATTTGTTCTTGTAGTTTTTCATATTTTTTCGGAACAATAATCATCACAGACGGAAGTTGACATCTTTAAAATTCTGATCTGATGTGTACCATTTTCACTACGGTGATATGGACTGGACACCACTTCCCAGCACTAATGAATGTCATTTGTATCAATATTGATATCCTATGACATATTCAATGTATTATTTCATGGATAATTTGGTTGAAATTCTTTTAAATCCTAACAATATTTTGTCGGATACATTCGTTTTAACACAGATAATTTTTAAAAAAATAATCTAATAAATATTTAATTAATTATATATAATGTCTAAAAAGCTAAATATATCGATTGTATGCAGCTAGCAACCTATATCTCTATCTCGGACACAATTATGCATGATTATGCTTGTTTTTATTTTTTTAAATAATAATGATTGACCTATGTTAAAATTGCCTTCACTTATCTGTTGTAAATGAAAAAGTATTAATTGACTATTTGGATGTTAATGTCCATTAAACAATACAAATTAGTTGATTGCATCATGTTTCTTTTTAAAATTACATAGAAATTGCCGACAACATTCACAACTCTGCAGTACAAAATTTGTCAAAATTGTCATTTCAAATAACTCGAAAAATCCGTCAAACAATTCAGCGTGTAAATAATGGCCTCAGATTTAGTATGATTAACGTCAGTCAGCATATATGAATCAATGATCAATTGTATTTGCTGACAAAAGCATTGAATGGACCAACGAAATTACGAAATGGTGCCCCCCTTTAAAGAAACCAATTCGTTTCATCAACTTGTTTGTCAGGAACTTCGTTTTAGAATACATTGCCATGGCGGTAAAATAATATCTTCTCATATTAACGTGAGAGATGTATAAGTTTGTGTTTATGCTGGTAATGAAAAAATATGCTACATGCTTGTTTTACAAAATACAATTAAATTTTAAAAATCACAATTATCATAGGGCTTGGTTGTTCGAATGCCATGACGTTTTTGCATGTAAAATTTAAACCTGTCTGAAAACACTGATGTCAACATTCACCATGATAAATATATAATCTAAATCAATTATAATTGTAATAATAATAATTGTTAATTTACATCTTCTTGATACATAAATGTCCAATATGGAGGCCACAGCATGTTAAATGTAAACTTATTCGTGTGACACTGTATATATTGATTGAAAATTTATGATATTACTAGGTCTGCTAATGACGGTGCGCAATTGTTACCAACGTGAATTTCAATAGATTGCTGGAAGACCTAGTGTTACAGACTATACCAGTATAGCTATCATTTCTTCAATATTTTTTCGATAAATTTTAGTTCAATGAAAATGTTTTTTCCGGTTTTAAAAGGTAACATTTTGTACAGATACAGATTTTCTCAAACAATTTCTTTCTTATAATTCATAATGATTTTTTTTATAACAAAGGTACACATTGCAAAGATTTTAGCTATGGAATTGAAACATTCGTATGGAGAGAATGAATATTAGAGAATATGGCCCTTACACAAATTTCATTTCCAATTCCAGGAATGTTTGCAGTCCAGACTGACCATGCCGCAAATCTCTCGCGCCATGTTGATGGTCACATGACATGGACCTATAAAAAGACGGTGTCTGTTCTCCTTGCTTGGATAGGGTTCGATGATAGCCATTCGAACATTCGCCATTACAGCATCAACATAGGGTCCTCCTTCTTTTTATCGGACCTAAATCAGGTCTGTCAAATTAAAAAGGATAAATTATAAAATAAACATATCAGTGGAATTAAATGATTGAAACAAAGAAATGTGTTTATATAATGGGATATGATTTATTCCATAGGAACCAGGAATTCCTTTCGTTACCTCTCACAACGATACGGGGATAAACAAAGGCGGGGAGGGTGTTGTTCAAACCAGTATCATCCCCACTCAGAGTCTCACTCGTCATAGATATGTCTATGTTCACATGTGGGCAGAAAATATGGTATAATACTTCAAATTTACGTTGTCCAATTCAATCTTTAATGCTATCAATTAATGATTGACTGAAAAATATTGCATTTTTTCCACAGGCTGGTCTGAAAAGTGCCATCATTCATTTCATGTTTAAGAAAGAGGCTGGCGGGCCTCTCCATTTGGTACGGCGCTGTGACGCTTACACTTGTGAGGGCCATTGTGTCTGTGCGGTCCAGGATGAGAAATGTCCAATCACAACTCCTGTTACATGTGTTAGTGATACAGCAAGTATGTTAATGACAATCAAATTAATCCCTTTTGTACAAATTTCATTCGTAACTACGTAGGTCCAATTGGAGGTCGACGGAAATAATATCATAGTCATTGTGCTAAATGATATAAGGAAAAGAGAACATGATAAAAGGTTTTTCAAAAATGATTTTTTCCTCTCTTGTAAGCTGGTTCACACAGTGTTGTCATGGTGACAGATCAGCTCGGCTTCGGATCAAGTGACGTAGAATATACACCATCAGATACAGTGTTGCAGGGTTCTTGGGTGATTACCCTTAATCAAGGATACAAACCCATATGGTAAACAGCATAATGATTATCTTAGGGATCCACGAGGCTCAGCCTGTTTAGTTAAAATATCATTATGAACACCAGGCATAAATACCTATAATCTTTCTTTCCAAACAGTATTACGTTGTTAAAAATTGGGAGTTCATGTACTTATTTAAAATTCGGAGTAACTTATCTAAAATAATAAGTAAGCATTACAACAAATGTTAATTAGGTATCAATGGAGTGTCGGGTATTCAAGTGAAGACACCCCAGAAGGCGTCTATGATGCGTCCACAGAACTGGTGTGGCATGACGCGGCGTCCATCACGCAAATGACATTCACCACCAAGAAAGGTCAGATTTGCATTAAGGTGTAGGAAAGAAACATCTTATTGAATTCTCATATAGACGTTCATCTTTTAAAAAATGTCTTTTTTATGCATTTTAGGCCAAACATTGAAACAAGGGATGAGGTATTCTTTCTTTGTTCGGGCATGGTACTCCACAACCGTGTTTGGTGATTTCAAGTCTAATGGTGTCATAATCTCAAGTCAACCTCCCCTCATGTCTACCAATATATGCTGACACACTTAAGAGAATCTAAATAATGTTGTTTTCCATATTTCTAACAGCTCTTTGATGTAGCTGAATGTTTTGCTTAATTTGCTGGTAATGAAAATGATTTTTCACTGTATTGCAATATGCACTGCAATATCTTCAATGAAAATTAAATTATAATATTAATTTCAAGTCACAGTGGACTGATAAATACATTTAATGCATATACTCGGTTGTAAATACAAGCTTTACATTAGCACCAGACCAGGAGGTCACAATATCCATTCTGTGGACACGAGTTTAGATGGCTCTTCCACAATGTTTAATATTCTAAGTATGGGCGTGGAGAGTGGGGTTCGTTATTACAGTAATGTAATAAAAGTTAATTTACATTTTATTTAAACATTCATATAAAATAATTCACTGGACATTTGTGGTCTTAAAAATTTCTTTACATCTATTAAATTCAAAAGCAATAATGTTATTTCAAAAAATCCTATTTTAAAATGTGAACTCGCATATTATGTATTTTAAATATATGATATAGAAGATTAATTCCATTCAATGTACATCACGTGGCATGGGTTTATTGACATGATAATAAGGTGGTATCATGTAAATGTTGGATACGTAATATTCTCTATGTAATCAAAAGGATAAAAATCTTGTTGATTTTATTAAAGTTAATCATCCATAAAACAGCTTCTGTCTTACTTGTTGGGCTTAAAAACAAACCTTTCTTCAATCATTTTTATATTTACATGTAAAAATTAAATTCCTTAGTCTAAGCATTTTTCCGGTTTATCAATATTACAAAAACGTATACCCGGTAATACCGTAAATCTGACAATTTTTGCTGTAGATAAAATTTTAGCAAATTTGCCAGTTCATTGCATTCGCAAAAATATTTTTCTTAAAAATAAATTACCAATAAGAAAATGTAAACAAAGCAGTGGTCATTCTCAAAATTTTGAAACGTAAAAATTAATCAACAGCATTTTGACCAGAATTCGCAAAATAAAATCGACGTAAAAATTTCCAGATTTACGGTATTACAATATTTTTTATAAAGGTATTGCAATATATCAAAATATCGATATTTTTGCCCAGCCCTAGTCCTAGCTATACTTTATTTGTAAAATTCAATCAATACAGGATTTGTTTCCAAATATGCACATTTTAAGCTTAGCTGACTTTAAAAGCTTAATTTTTACGTGAAAATTAAAGAAATATTTATTTATCAAAAAAGCAAAGTAAGTAAAAGCAAGACATTTATAAGTAATGATGTGCATTAATTTTCTCAAAGCTATTGCTTACCAAGCATTTATACATCAAATGCAGGTTAAAAAATGCAGAGAAATGTCTAATACATGTAATAGCAATCTATTTTAATTAAGTTATCAGTTTCTTAGCAACTAGAATAATTACGTTTTATATACATTGTGTACGATGAACAGACAATTTATTAATGATGCATTACTAGCAAATCCTTTACATTATAAAAATTCTATGATATTTCAACACTTTAACGACCTTGACCTAAGGATAACCTTACCTTCGAATCTGGGCTTTACGACTGTACATCAAGGTGGAGGACAAAACGAGGGGGTTTTTCTTTTTTGACACAATCATCAACCTTGCAAATAAAGCATGCGTAGAGAGAAATCAGAGATGATATAAAGATCTGGGTACAACTCTGGCACACAGTTAGAAAATTTTTATTGCATGCAGAAAAATATCAATGAAAGGTTTTTTTCATGGTGTTCACTGTTCAGATTTTTTGTAATTTGCGAAAAAAAAAATCAGATTTGAAAAGTAAGAAATGAATAGCTTGTAAGGCTTATGCTGTACACCTGTCTAGAACTGTCATTAATTTTATTTTTTTTTCTTTCAAATTAACCCTAATCAAGCTCTTCATTAAAGGACTCTGACTTAAATTATTTTGCAATTTTCACAAAATAATTTCATTGAAAATTTTGATAGCTATTTATTAGCAAGGTGGCATGTGTACCACATTCTGTTAATGAACATATAAATGAACAAAAGCTTCAAATAAATATAAAGCTCTCTTATTAATGATATTAATAATTTTTTTCTCTCTCTGCTTCAAGAACCAAAGTTAAACATGTATAAGATGATAGATTATGACAAGATTTAGTACATGTAATGTAAATTAATGGCAAATCAGCTCAAATGAGGTAAATCATTGACCCTTGCCTCTTGCTTGAAGTAGGATGTAAGATTATTCATTCTATTTAAAAATATTAGTGGCTAGTAATTGACAATGTTATGCAAGCAGTTCAAGGATTCAAGATTGCTTGTCTATTTATTAAGTGTTTACAGGTCAGAAACCTAGTTATAAATACTTATGCCTTAATCATACATCCTTATGATTATAAACCTAACTCTACAAAATTTGAAATAGCAACAGCCATTATTTAATGTGTACTATAAATACAGTAAAAGAAAATTAATGTCACAAAATTATCCTGTACTTATTTTTAGAAATTAATTTTACAACATATATTGTATATTTTCAATTGTGAGTTTTTTTCATAGAATTTCACATACAACATGTATTGATCAGCCAAGTGCACTCCTTTTTAAATTCACCAAAGAAGGAAAAAGACAAATGATTTCAAAGTATAAATCAACCATGTTAATGCTAATGCCTTCGACACATCTGCAAGATACGTATCAATTTATCTCTGACATGCAAAAAAATTCAAGAATCCGAAAAATCGATGCAATAGGAAGAAATATTACAAAAAAAACCCAAATAAGACTATCAGATCAAACAAGATGCTCAGCAGTGACAAATCTATGAAAAACATACCGTTCATTTGCGAGGTGTTTTCTATTTTCAGCACTCAGCTGCCTAAAGTCCTTCCCTTGGAAAACGGCAATTCCATCTCGTCTCGGAGACTTCTCATCTGAAACAGTACATCATTTATTTAACTCACATGTTCACCATAAACACCAATTGACAGGATGCCGAACAAATAAGATGTAATTAACCCTCAATATATTTCTAGGCCGATTGGTTGCTATGGTAAAATAATTGTTTCTGGTACAATTTCTGATATAAAACAAATCTCTTAGCTCGGTAATCTTTGGCTGTTGAGTCTGAAATACTGCAACAATGATGTTGACAGAACAGCTAAACATTTAATATTGTACCACTCCTTTATAAAACTAAATCTTTTCTGAAGGTTCATTTATGCATCCATAGCTGAAATGTTTAACTCAGGAATACTTTATCTCCTGTGGTTTGCTAAATGTATGAATAATTTAGCTTTTGTGTAGTATTTACTTAAGGAATAACTGTCTTATTTTTCGATTTCATGACGATGATCAATCGATTGGCTTGCGTGATAATTTTATGCATAAACGCCTTCTGTGTTTATGCAAATTATCACGCAACCCAATCGATTGATCATCGTCATGAAATTGAAAAATCTGACAGTTATTCCTTATATTTATATGCTTTGATTCCACCAATCCACGTGCTCCAAGCCCTGCTTCTGTCTAGCTGTTTGTTCCGCCCTGCACTTGTTTTTTTTTTGAACCGCGCCAATACATTGATTGGGAAATAAAGTACATTTACTATTTGTAATTTTATCTCAGACAAAGACATTGGAAATGTAAATATTACTTGATAAATCATTTTTTTTTTACAAGACTCATTCATGAAAAGTAACACATTAAAGCTGAACACGACTCCTACAGAAGAATTTTTCCACCATATTTCTTTATTCACTCTCTTTATCTAAGGGCCTCTATATAAGCCACTCACTTAGACAGTGTTTAGTGTAATCATTTCATCAGTTGTCACTTTGTATCAACAGATGTTCATATGCTACATAGCTCTCCGTAGCGACAGAAAATAACTGTACTGCTTCAATGGCAAGAGAGAAAGATATCAAAGAAACATACAATGTTCAATTGCACAGGTCAGTACAGTATACAAACAAACACAAATACATGTAACTGCAATTACAAAAATAAACAAAGGCAATGCAAGATAACCAGCACCAACATGTCACCATTCCATGTTGATAACCATGTCAATAAAGCATTCAGGTGCAATGAATGCGAAGAGTATACCCAGTGCTGGGTAGACTAGATAGTATAATCGAATATGGTGTATGCCTATTTACCACTCATGTTCAGCTTTAAATATCATGATTTTTAAGAAGAGCATTGGACTATAAATGTGCCTCAGTAAACTTCCTAAAGATCTATGATACAAATTCACAAAATTTAGATTTGTAACCTAAGACATCCAATCTGACTTGTAAGAATATGTTCTTTATTGAGAAAAACTCTAGACTGCTTGTTGATGAATCCTTCTATTTCATTAAGTGACCACTTTTAACTTCAGTTGAGCTCATATATGGTACTCGTAAATTCAATATTCTAATGTCTACCATGAATGTTGATTCATTACAAATTAATTACTTGAATATTTTCATGTACCTCATACACCATAGTATGGCCTGAGAGTAAATAAGACGAACTGAAACTAACCTGGTCTTTCAAGAATGTCTTTCTGACATGCTTGTGTATTGCCAAATCCCGATTCTCTTCTCAATCTCTCTCTTTCCTCCGTGATGCTGACTGTGATACTGTAAGAGGATACATTACAATTAATTAAATCCATTAAAGACGTACGTACATGTACATTATCTTCTCTTACCAGAATTCAGTGATGTGCTGTTCTGAGAGCACTCTGATTTATCGATTTTGTCAACTTCACATCATTTCCCCTGGCAAAAGGTTTACTCAACTAGTAAATTTAAATGTAAATGTAGCTTTAACAAGAGGCCCCTGGACCACAGTGTACACTTGTTCTTCACCAGCATTCCCAGCCCCGTATATTCCAAGTTATATAAGTAAATTTTTAAAGTTTATTTTTCCCTTATATTTCGATGAAAAACTTCGATTCCCTATTGTGGTCACACTGTAACCCCAAGGGGTAATGATCTGAACAATTATATTATAACTCTAACTCAGGGGACTTCCACATAAGTTTCAGCTATTCTGGTCCAGTAGTTCTTGAGAAGACAGTGCTTAACTGATTCTCAAAACTGCATGGAAATTTATAATTAATGATTGCATGTTTGTAAATGTTAATTTTCATGTTCTACTGTTAGTAATACATACAATGTATTTAGTTGTAGATCGATTCATGAATACAGCATTTAAATAATTTTCAAAGGCAAAATATACAATGTATCAGAAAATTAAAAACAAGAAAACATTTGTTTATAAATCAAATGACATAAATCCTCAAGGATCAAGTACTACTCCTACATTCTCAACTAGGTCAATACATACTTGTAAACATGATTTTGTACACATGAATGACCTACATTCAATTTTAATCTATACAACTTTGATATCAACAAGCTTAACAAATTGAATCATATTACATACAATGTACCCTGCATCAATTATATCCAAATAATAATATGTTCTTATTCAAAAAATTGATTAACTATTAAAAATGCAATGCTATAAACTGCTGATTAATTTTTCAATTGAAAAGATTCCTTTTGAAGAGTTTATTTGATCTTGTAATCTTACAAATCTAAGTTATATCAACATTTGTGTATTGTTCTCAATTTTCTGGCAGACAGTCAAGGTCATTTTTAAAGGCCAACCCCCTCTATAGGTTTATGTTTACAACAAACTGAAGTATTGTGTAAACGTGATTGGTTTTAATCCTGATAAAACTATTATTACATCTATAAAATGTCAAGTGGACTTCTCTTTAATTAATAGAAAACAGAACAAACTGAACCCACTGAATGCAATTTCTGACATACTGTAAATTTTTTCCTTCCTTTTAGATTTTTTCCCCCCGAATTTGTGTAAACATATGCATTGAACATTTGACATGGTTGAGGCATATAAATCCTTACATCAAAAAAAAATCTTGGTATCACATGTTTTTTTTAAATAGCACACAATTTTAATGACTTAAAATATTCAGAATTTTTGTGCATTGGAAAAAAATTAATCAAAAGTTTCTATTAATACAAACTGATTTAAATAATAACAAGACAAGCCTAATTTCGTTCTTTTTGTAATTTGACACTGACATCCAAGGTACAACAAGGAATTTCAAATTTTCGATTTAAGACACCTGATCAAATGACGCAAGTGACGGAATCAAAAGGAAAAGTTCTGTCTCTGGATAGTTGTAATTAATTTATGAGAGTTAATTGACGTAAGTGCTGTCTATATGTATAATTATGCAAATCCCCTGTCCGCCATATCACTTAATTTATTAGGATAAATAAAACATATGATTCACATAGGAAAAAAAAAATAAAAATTTATGAGTCACTGTGACAATGGACTGTTAATTAATGGAATGAAATGAAATTCAGAAGTCAATAATATCAAAAAATAATTACCTGTATATTCCACTTTTATAATTATATGATCAATAACTATTAACATGATTAACAAAGTTTAAAATATGTCATAAGGCTAATGTTTCTCATTCTTAGGTCAATAACACAGAAAAGATAAGAATATCAATATCTTCAGTTAATTGTTTTTTTGTTTGCCTCTTGCAAATACATGTAGCATTGCGTAAAATCCTCGAAAAGTGGAACACACAACTTAGCCACTGCATTTATCCATAAATTAAAATCCTCCTTGAAGTGACATAAAGTTAAGTAGGCCTTTTTTATATTCAACAACTATAGATAATTTATAGTTTTATTTCATGAATTCAAAATTTTAATTAAAAAAGTCAGAAAACAATTTGTAAATGATTAAATCCATTGATTTTCCAAGGACAGTTAGAACAGCTTGTCCTGAATTATTTATCAATAATTCAGTAAGAATGGATTTTTATGGGTGGAGTACTCAAAGCTTTCATAATGTACACATCCTCGTCATTACTTAATTCTCTCTAGAAAATTGAATCATGAAATTACTTTACAATAACAACAAAAAAAACCTTGAAAACTAATTTAAATCTGTGCTAAGTTGAATAATAAAGTAATAAAACTGCAAAATTTATAATGAATGCTTTAATGTTCTCTACCTTGAACCACTTTTTTTTTTAATACAGTAAATGGGTTTTTAGAGCAGGAAATATACAATATAGGTTGAAATTAACACTGCTTGTTTACACAACAGAACAAGGGGGTGTGACGACCCATGAAGGTGTTATGCAAAGAGGAATAACAGTCTAGACTCAGTTTACTGACCAGTATGTGTTGTAAACCCTGGGGCTAACTTGTGTCAATGGTCTGATGCTGTTAGAAGTTCAGTGTATTGACATTAATAAAAATGTGTATTCTGGTCTCATATGGCCATATTCTCATTTTAGAATGACCAACTCTATTTCATTAATTAATTGTTTTTCAAAAAATATAATAAAAATACATTAAATGATGGAACTAAAATTCTTCAAAGACTCACAAACTAAATTTCAAATTTTTGAAGCAAACCCTTAAAATTAGAGCAGAAAAAATAAATCTGATATTCATGTTGGTAAAAATGTTACTTTTTTACTGTTGAAAATTTCTATTGTGGTCTGTCCTATGGAGAAAGATTAGTTGTTATGGCCAAAGAAGTATTAGTAAATCTGTCAACGTACTGTCATCTTTGACAAATGAACAACTCTACTTTCCCACATATATTCATAGGTTTGCACCAAACTTATTTCCTCTTTGAGTGATACAAGTTTATTTTTGAATATCTATGAAAAAACATATTTAGTGACAGTCATCACTGTCATATGAATTTACTCAATTTAGACCATTTTATAATCTATCACGGGAAAACTTTCAGATTTATACTTTTGATATGCCATATTAAAAAAAAAACATTTCCTTGTAAGTACACCCATTCATAGATTTTACTTCTCCTAATAATTTACCGATAACATTTTAAATACATAATTATTTTAATATCATAAAATTTTATTTGTTACATAAAGTGAGATTCAGACAAAAAATAATAAATTTTGAAATCCTCATTATACCATATATATATAAAAAAAATTGATAGTTCAGTGCAGATATACAGTAAGTATCATTTTTCTGGGAACATTTTTATATTATCGGAAATCGATACTGACCACTGATCACTCCTGCCAGTGGTCCAGTGACCTCCATCTTTACTTCCAATGACCTGCATCCTCATAACCTACCTTCCTCGTTTTCCCTTGGACAGTCTCCGTTGTAACACTGTCCCATTCTCATTATTCTGGACGGATTTATTCACTGACACAATGTTTTCAACCGCTGACAAAGCGGTCACTTTCTTAGTTCCTTCTAAATTGGACTCATTTTCATCATCACCACAAAGGTCTTCTGCACCTGATCTGTTGACATTATTTTCCACTTCTTCCACGATATCATCCTTCAAACGCTGGTGTTTGGGATTAAATAGAGCATGTTTTGTATCCCTATATGTACCATCTAAAGAAATGTTTGATAAAAAATTCACAGCAGCGATTCTTCTTCTCGATCTCCTCTTCAGTTGTTTCATGCTCGCTGTCGCCATACTAAGTAACGAATGAGAAAATTGAAGAGGCATTCCGATAGATTTTTTTTAACTTCCGAAAGACCTCGAGATTTCGGCATTTCTCGCGAGACTTTAATTCAGCCATTTGACAGACAGAGAAGAAAATGTTTACATCGATGAAATATTGTTAAATTTCTCCCTTTTGAGAAGATATAGACAATCAGTGAAAATGAATGCTGATAATATAGATCCAAATATTAGCACGACTAATCGAGTAGCTCGTGTAAATATGGTAGAGGGCGTGGGAGCTCGGGTTGTACGAGGGCCAGACTGGAAATGGGGGAAACAAGACGGGGGTGAGGGGCATGTCGGGACAGTGAGGAATTTTGAGTCCCCAGAGGAAGTCGTTGTTGTATGGGACAATGGAACAGCAGCCAATTACAGATGTGCAGGAGCATTTGACTTAAGAATTGTGGATAGTGCTCCAACAGGTGTCACATTTTTTGAATGATACTAAAATATTAGATATACTTATAAAGCAAACCATAAGGGATGACCATGTTTAAAGAAGGTTTTGATCATGTGTGTCATATTATACTCTTACAGTGCTGATTTCCATTCACTTAGATTTTTTATCAATAGAGAGCACAGTATGCTGCTCGCATAATCTCAGCGAGATGGGTAGAGACTAAAGTTTTGGTCTCTATCCATCTCGCTGAGTTTACTGTTCGCTTTGCGAGTTCTAACCACAATACCTGGGTGAAGACTAATTTAAAATGATTCAAATGAATTTTTTTATGTAGTTAAATCAAGACCAACAATGCAAAGCAAATGCCTCTTGCTGCTTACTCGGTTCTCTCATGCTACATCAATTTACGGTTGCACCATCGGCATCTTATGTTTGATGGTAATACCATTGGGGCAAGCACAATCGTATGTATTTATTATCCGAAAGATGATCAGAGCACCTCCCATTTGGCTTTGAAAAAGGGTTCAATAATTTGAACAAACTGACAATAGAATAAATTCCTGTCTGCATTTTGCTAAAACACATATGGGGTGAAATTGTTTACATGATCAGTATCATTTCACATTTTCACCATGGTATTTTTTCTATTTGATACATATTTTACAAAATCTTTATTTTCAATTTGTTTCAATTGTTATTCAGTCAGGTTTAGCATTTGTTAAAATATGCTAAACTGTCAATTTATTTAATCAATTTCTTCTAGTCATTTTTCATGAATTACTGTTTTTACTGAAACATTAGTAGATATTAGATGTGAAAAAAATTGTTTCCTTCGATCAAAATGTATGGTAATGAAAATAACTGTGCCATTAATACCTTGAAAAAATTGTATGATATTTAAATTATCATATTGAGAAGGAGGAGAATTTCTGTTTTTACTGAAATAATAGTTTATATTAGACATGATAAAAATTTCAATTTGTTTCCTTCAATCAAAATGTATGGTAATGAAAATAACTGTACGGTAACTGTACCATTACTACCCCCCTCTAAAACACGTCTGTAACATCTGATGTAATACTTGATGTAAACTTGTTGTATAGTTTAAGTGCCTCTATCACTAATTTTATTAAATCATGTATTTACACCCATTTAAAAATATCAAGTTAAGTCATAAGTGTTCTTTAAGAATCTTACATTTTACGTACTTCCTCCTGCAAACATACATATTATAAATTTAAAGATTTGACATTACACAATGTCATCCTGTTCGTTGCATGAAGGGGGGTATTTTTCTTGGCAGAAAAGTTGTAGGTGCAGTGAATTAATGTTTAAAGTTTCTAAAATACAAGTATGAAGTTACAACTGATATGTAACTCACATTTAATTTGGAAACTTGTACACATTTTAGTATCAGGCCAAGCTTAAAAAATTCTTTGTTTGCAGTTGCCAACCTATAATTTTTAGACTGGGTAGGTAGGTAGGCATTCTTTCTAGTTTTCAAATTTTTATTAGATAATTTACATAAAATAGATTTTTATACCCCCCGCAAACGAAGTTTAGGGGGGGTATATTGGAATCACCATGTCCGTCTGTCCGTCTGTCTGTCTGTCTGTAGACGAGATTTTGTTCGGACCATTACTCAGAAACTATTGGAAGGATTTGTCTGAAAATTTGTACAAATATTATTCACCATGTGAAGTTGTGCACCTGATATTTTCACCTTGATTCGATTATTATTTTGAATTTTACAGGTGTTTTTTCATTTTTATTTTGTGGTTTTGTCCGTACCGTTTCTCAGAAACTATTGCAAGGATTAATCTGAAAATTTGTACACTTATTATTCACCATATGAAGGTGTGTAATTGGAATTTTCAACTCTTTTTGTTCATTTTTTTGCATTTTACAGGTTTTATTTTTTATTTTAATTGACTTGTTCATTTTGGGCTCATGTATAATTATGGTTTGAGACATAGAATCTAGAATATCTGTACAAAAATACTACAGCTTAAAACTACTCATATAAACTTTAAAAAAAAGAAACATCATCAAGTGTTGAAAACAGTTTTTACATTACACTGAAGATAATGTAAATTCATTTGTCTCTTGGGAATAATGACTGGACATGCATCCAGTTAAAGATAAATTAATGAGTTTGGTGTGGGAAGTTGAACATTAAGGCATCTCATTATCAACCATGTGTAATCTCCTGGGAATCAGGCACAAGAATTAAAGATCTCTCTTCTCTTATTCTCTTAATTGTAATTTATTGTCTGTCAAAGCACTTCATTACTGGATGACCAGCTCTTTATTTTCAAATGAATTTGATATAAAGTTATCAAGATTAATTTGATTTTGTATAATATGATTTTTTTTTCAACAATCAGTTTGCAGAGTGACATAACACATAATTGCAATATATTTTTTTAATGCAGAAATAAAAAAAATAAATAAAAAAAACAAAAAAAAATAATGTTACAATGGAATTACAATGTATTAGTATTGATGTTTCATTTGGTTGCACCTTTGTTTCATTCATTAAGAAACATGATGAGCAATTATATTTCACTGCAAAATTTTGTAAGTAAATTGTGAACACCTCTAGATCCATAAAGTATTTTTGAATTGGCACCTTCTCTGAAAAACCCAGCGGGGGGTATTTGTCCCTATTGGACAGTTCTAGTTTTCATAGGCCTGCTATACATGAATAAGCTCCACTCTTGGTATAAACTACTGATTGATAAAGACAAAAAATGAAACAGTTTCAATATCCTGAAAAATTGGGGGAAAAAAAAATTACAAAACGGCTTAAAAAAAGTTTGGGTCGGTGTATTTTCAGTGGGTCGGTAGGCAACTGCAAACAAAAAATATTTTATTTTAAGCCTCAGATAAATTTTATTGTTATGGAACATTTCAAATACAATAAAATTTTCAATATTAAACATGATTAAATGCTTTTGTGTAACTTGAAGTATTAATGAAAACAGATTTTGATAACACATCAAACCAACCCATATTTTTTGAATAATGATAATTCTCTCATTAAGGCTTTCAACATAAAGACAAATTAATACAGTCTAGATGCAACACCTGAATTAAAAGAAATGGTAAACATTGAGCAAGTTATTTTGTTCAGCAATAATACCATACTGTGTTATATAACTTATAATTTTTGAAGGGATTCAAAGGGATTTATATAATACTAGCTTATGTAATTTTTGCCATATGTTATTTTTTGTGTTTCAACAGTCTATTTGAATTTATGCATACTTTATAAAATATTTATTAGCAGTTGATGTAGATTAATTCATCTTGAAATATTAAATCATGACTATTATATAGCATTCAAATGTGTACTAAATTTTAATATAATTTTTTATCAGGTATAAAACATGATGGAACCATGTGCGACACCTGCAGACAACAGCCTATATTTGGCATCCGATGGAAATGTGCTGAGTGCTCCAATTATGACCTGTGCAGTGTCTGCTACCATGGCGATAAACACAATTTGCGACACAGATTTTATAGAATCACGACACCGGGGAGTGATAAGTATGTTAGATTTAGCGTATTTAGGTTTGTTGTATAATGATACCTAAACCTATTAGGTGAAAAGTTCAAAAAGGTTTCTTGTATTATTGACACAAAAACTGAAAATATTAGTTCATTAGAAAAAATTTTGAAGATGGGATGTTATAACAGGACCAAATTACATGAGGCATTGATGTATACTATTTTACTGTTCTATTTCTTCTAGCAAACATCTAAAAAAAAAAAAAGAAATTTTAAAAAAAGAAAAACTTACTATTTCAAGGCATTTTCTGAATAAATTAAAATGTATTATTTATTATAGATACATTATTTATCATGTTTATGTACATGTCATACATGTAAAGTTCTACATGCTATTTTAATTGTTATGCATATATAACTGTATACTGTCAAGTGATGATTTGAAATTAAATTTGACCCCTCTATTTAAATGAAAAATATTTGTGCATGCTGATGCACAAACACATTGACACAGTGTATTATTTACATTTATGATAAATGCTGTAATTTTATAAAAATAAATTTTCAACTTTCATTTCTGAAAAGGTGCTCTGTGGAACCAAGAAGGAAAAGCAAAAAGATCACAGCCCGTGGTATCTTCCCTGGGGCCCGTGTAGTGAGGGGTGTGGACTGGCAGTGGGAGGATCAGGATGGGGGAAACGGTCGGAGAGGGAAGGTCACGGAGATACAGGACTGGAGTGCTGCCAGCCCCAGAAGTGCAGCCTATGTTTTATGGGACAATGCGGCCAAAAACCTCTACAGAGTTGGCTTTGAGGGAATGGTATGTACCAACAAACCTTTGTTATCACTTTTAACTTGATAGGACAAAGAAAATTTTTAGAGTTATCCAGTGTAAAATACTTGAGGAAGAACTGGATGGGACTTCCAAAGCAATTTGACGTATTCACATGTTATTTGAGATATCAGTGTCTGAGATACTAATGTCTAACTGTATATTTTCTTCATAAATCATTAGCCCTATTGTAAATTGATTTTTTTTTGACATGAAATATTTTAATTGCAATGTAAATCGAACAATTTTTTTTTTTTGAAAAAGAATGTTTACAAAGCACATTTACATTTATTAAACTGGTACATTCTTGAATGAAATTTTATTGACTTTGTAAATGACGTTTTGAATTGAATTTTTTTTGCAGGCTGATTTGAAGGTTGTGAATGATGCTAAAGGAGGGTCATTCTACAGAGATCATCTTCCTCTCTTAGGTATGTGTAATTACAAGCCACATCTGATTCCTACATTCAATATACTGGTTTACTTATAAAAAGTTATGTTCCTTTTAAAATTATACAATTTTTTAAGCAGATTTTAAAAAAAATTAGATGTGATGTATCTGTATGCCATATATTAGAATAATAAATCTGTATGCCATAAATGAGAATAAAATTTCCTAATGTTTATTGATTATATGGATCAGGTGTTTATATTTATTTTTGTTTTATTTTCAGGAGAACAAGGTCCTGGGTCAAGGTCAGGTCCCGGTGGATTAGCCATTGGTGACCAAGTCAATGTAGATCTGGAGCTGGAGATTGTCCAGTCACTACAGCACGGTCATGGAGGGTGGACGGACGGAATGTTTGAGGTAAGAATCATTGCCGTAGCTTTAGGAAATTACAGTGAAACCTGTCTTATCTGACATGCATTGGGAGATGAATTTCGTGTCGGGATATACAGGGTGTGGGATTGCACAGTGTAAAGAACATGGAAAATAGCAAAATGGGAATTTTGTACAACAAACCATCATGTACGTCTGTATATGAAACTTAAATTGCCACCCACATATATATCAGTATATATATATACTTAATAGAAGAATTGCTCTTCACCACATGTTGTATTCTGTCTATTACTTTAATATTATGTTTATATGTAATTATATATGTTATATGTTTATGCCTAATGGGCCCTGATTGGTAATAAATTCTGTTCTATTCTATTCTATTCTATTCTATTCTATAACGTCAGAATTCACAGTGAGACGGATTTCACTTTCTATTTCTATTGTTTGTTGACTTTAAATTCATGGTAGATTGGCTTTATGCTGAGAATATAAATGAGTGGATATTGTTGAACAGATTTCTATAGGCATTGTAAGAAATTTATGAGTGTTCTCATTGACTCATTTAAGTCATTATGGCCTGAGATGCTTTGTTTTTATAAGGGAATGTGTAAGCTACATTCATAAAATGCTATTCCAAGCTAAAACAATGAAATTGATATAAAACTGTGTGATAATACAGCTTCTCTTTTATTTCAGTGTTTGGGTACCACAGGGACTGTTGTGGGGATTGATGAAGATCATGATATTGTTGTATCTTGTCCTAGTGGTAACAGGTCAGTGAAACTGGAGAAAAAATTGAAATATGTGAGAGAAATTGTATAAAAATATAATATAAAATATGATATAAAAATTGAGTTTATACTCAGAAGTACTCACTTGTCTTCATGATAATTAATGATAACTACTTATGAGTTAAACTGGTTTATACAAAATAGCACAAAGGTTAAGAACACAATAAAATGAAATCAAATACTACATTCATCTTTGATATTAAAAACAATCTTTATAATTGGTTTATTCTTTAGATAGATATTTGTACAACATATTAAAAAACAGAAGAAAATTATGCAATTAAATTTGATATATTAATTTTAAATTAAAAAAAAACATATGAAAAGTAAAGATTCATCTTGACTCCTTCATCAAAAGAAAACTTTTTTCTTCAGATGGACCTTTAACCCAGCTGTTCTGACAAAGGTTAACACCCCCAGTACTGCCCCCTCTACTTCCAATGAGGCCACTCCAGCTGCCCCTCCCTCTGCACAGTTTGCTGTGGGAGACTTAGTCCAGATTTGTAATGACCCAGAAAAGATCAAGCTGTTACAGAGAGGACATGGAGAATGGGCGGAGGCCATGTTACCAGTATGTCAAACTTTGTTTACTGTATACAAGGAAATTTTTGCCCCAATTTATCTATTGACCTACTATTCTCCAGGTGGGAAAATTTTAAGTATAAATTCTTTGACAGAACTGTGACTGGGCATATGTAGAACAAGACAAAATTGTATGCAAGTGTAAAAGGGCAAAAATAATATTGGACAAAAATAGGACTGACTAACTCTTGCCTCAAAGTCCGATTAAAGGGCACTGTCCCAATACTTGATATCGCGATTACTTAACTTAGCGGAACTCTTTCGAGATGGAGGTAGGAAACGTCTGTTGGGTGGGGGCAAATGTGCTATTTAATATAATGCAAGATCGATCATTGTAGCATTTACAAGGACAGATAAGTAAAAAATCCTGGTGGATTACTTTGCTAAACAATCGCTGAACCAGCCTAATAAATTTCTGAGAGGAGCCAATCCTAAATTGTTACATCTTTGACGATATTTTTAATTCAGCGGAATCTTCTAGTTAAATTTTCATTGAAAATCGTCACATTTTAAAGCAGATAAAATATTCTAAACTTTCCTTATATGACGATGTACTATTTGGAGTTCAATATCTGGCAAAACATTGTGATTTCGGCATTAAATTGTTGGAATCAGTTGATTGTCACTACTGTAAACAATGTCATGTGCCCCAGAAATTTAGACCTTTCTCGACTCCCCCGCAAAAGAGCTGTAGTAAGTTAGATAACAGCGAGGTACTTATTGGTAGTCGCGATATTACGTATTGAAATTTACTCTTTTTTTCCCCCATATTAAAGTAAAAACTCCCAAATGATAAGCAGATCAAATTTTTCAGCATTTTTTACTTAAAAAAAGATAAAAACAAAGTTTGAGATTTTAAAAATTCATGAAGATGTTAATAGAGGTTAAATTTTAGTCTTTATTTAAGGATACACCAAAGGCTCTTTTCAAGAATTTTGTCAATTTTGAGATTTTTGGCTAAGAAAAGGATGCTAATCACTGCTTTATAATGCATGAAAGATTATTGCTGATTATTAAATGGTTTTGTAATTATTTAACAATAATTAAACATAAACACTACCACATGTGAATGTGCCGTTATTGGAGCTTCTGATTCGATCTGTGACTGTCTGCTTCTGAATGGAGCAATAAATCACTGTGACCACATGGGGAATTCTTCACTAGCCACACAGAGGTTAACAGTAATTAAACTACAGGGAACCCAGATTTAGGGAACGAGATCTAACAGGTCACTAATGACCATGAAATAGGAAGTGGAGCTTAGCTCTTGCCATTTTACCGGGAAATCTTTCTGATTCATAATTGAACCTATTTTACCTAATTAAAACACTTAAATATAGAAAAGAACCTCCCATTCTTGTGAATATGCATAGGAAATATGGATGAGTGACAGGTATCCAAAGCTGAATCTCCAAGGTGTCATATATTTCTAGCTTTGGCAGAATTTGCTGTGTAATGGGTTTTTGCCCTCTACTGTAAAGTAAGATCAGACAGTTGGTGGTATTATTTCAAAGGATTCAGCTCCCTTATTTATTGACCAATTTCTCTGAAAACTGGCTAGATTGTGTCTCAAATGTGTGTTCGCAAAACTGTATTTCAGATTTTTGATATCTTGCGTAGTTCTTGAATTATTGGGGAAAATGTAGAATGGGGCTAATAAATTGGTAACATTGAAGGACAAATGGATGTAACTTTTGAACTAAAAGATTTATCAAAAATCTGAGATACGGTTTTTAAGTCCAATCTTTAATCTACCTTGAGGCAAAATTATGACTTTGAGAGGTGGAATACAAAAAAGTTGATTTATAAAATACAAATGCACTTACATTTACATTAAAATTTTAATTATTTTTTGAAGAAGAATAAAATGAAAGTTAAAATTAGGATCATTAAATAGTAAATTTAACAAGCTTTCAAATGATCTATACTTTTAATATGCTATCTTTGATAATGAAAGAATTACAAGCAAATTAAATTCTGCCATTCAGAAACCTTTGGTGTATCCTTAACATATATACTTAGTAAACGACACCAAAATTTCTATATTATGCCACATTCTCGATTTGAAATTTCCCATTGAGAGGGTACAGGACCCTTTACCAAAAAGGGTCCATTAAGCCCTGCTATGAAAATTCTACCTCTTGAAATTAATTTGTATTTTGCTTATGTTTTGATTTTAGAATTGCATAAATTTCAATCATTAACTTTGTGTTTTCAGACTCTTGGTAAGATAGGGCGGGTCCAGCAGATTTATCATGACAGTGACCTGAAGGTAGAAGTATGTGGTACCTCGTGGACCTATAATCCATCAGCAGTCACAAAGGTGGCCTCATCTGATGGTGCCGCTATAGGAAACTCGTCGGGAGGTGAGAATGTAGTGGACTAGTGGTATATATTTTGTTTACCATAAAAAATAATTAGGTTGGAAAAGAAGGGATTTGCAGAAAACTATCTTTGAATTTTTTTGAAACATTTAAATATCATATAACAGGTATTTTCCTTGGTTGGAAATTTTTGTAGTTAGACCCCTTAAACATAGCAAATTTATTTCTGGATTTCAATTTCTGTAATTAAATAATGCCATAAGAATCTAATAAGGGTATATAAACCAAAAATTCTAAGTCATTTGGCAGAACACTGTCATGTGTAGCTGAAAAGCTGTAAAGAATTTGTTTGAAATTGATTCATCATGGAATAGACTTTTGGTACCCCTAATCCAGGGGCCTTGAAATTCATAATTCTGGCAGAATGGCCCTTGCTCATCAAAACTATGTATGTAGTTATTTTGTTGAAATTTGATTATTATACCTGATTTATATAGAGAAATGTAATCCAAGTAAGAAAATGTATTAATTCAACTTTCCAGAGAGACTGAGTGCTTTGCTGAAGAAGCTGTTTGAGACCCACGTGACAGGAGATGCCAATGAAGAACTGGTCAAAGCCGCAGCCAATGGGGACTATGTTAAAGTGGAGGATCTCCTCAGCAGGCCAGAAAATGATGTAAGTCAAATCAAATTTCCAGCATGAGTGTTGCCCTTTTTGCAGTCTTAAACTTTTAGACTGTTTTGATATACATCATGATGTTTTTTGAATCCAAATTAGTTGTATATCAAAGTGTAAACATGTGTACCAAATTTGATTTGAATATGACATTAAATAAAAAACAATGTGATGGAAGTCTACTTACTTAATGCAGGGAAATTTTTGCCTTCATTTTATTAGCTCACCTGAGCTGAAAGCTCAAGTGAGCTTTTCTGATCACATTTTGTCCGGCGTCCGTCTGTCTGTCCGTCTGTCTGTCCGTCTGTCTGTCTGTCTGTCGTCTGTCTGTAAACTTTTCACATTTTCGACTTCTTCTCAAGAACCGCTGGGCCAATTTCAACCAAACTTGCTACAAAGTATCCTTGGGTGAAGGGGATTCAGGTTTGTTCAAATGAAGGGCCACGCCCTCATTCAAGGGGAGATAATTGGGAATTAATGAAAATTTGGTGGCACATTTAAAAAATCTTCTTCTCAAGAACCACTGTGCCAGGAAAGCTGAAACTTATGGGGAAACATCCTCAGGTAGTGTAGATTCAAGTTTGTTCAAATCATGACCCCCGGGGGTAGGGCGGGGCCAAAATGGCCGACCAAAGTTTTACATAGAAATATATAGGAAAATTCTTTAAAAATCTTCTTCTCAAGAATGACAAAGCCATAATTCATCATATTTATATGGAAGCATGCTCAGGTAGTGTAGATTCAAGTTTGTTCAAATCATGACCCCGGGGGTAGGGCGGGGCCAAAATGGCCGACCAAAGTTTTACATAGAAATATATAGGAAAATTCTTTAAAAATCTTCTTCTCAAGAATGACAAAGCCATAATTCATCATATTTATATGGAAGCATGTTCAGGTAGTGTAGATTCAAGTTTGTTCAAATCATGACCCCCGGGGGTAGGGCGGGGCCAAAATGGCCGACCAAAGTTTTACATAGAAATGTATAGGAAAAATCTTTAAAAATCTTCTTCTCAAGAATGACAGAGCCATAATTCATCATATTTATATGGAAGCATGTTCAGGTAGTGTAGATTCAAGTTTGTTCAAATCATGACCCCCGGGGGTAGGGCGGGGCCAAAATGGCCGACCAAAGTTTTACATAGAAATATATAGGAAAATTCTTTAAAAATCTTCTTCTCAAGAATGACAGAGCCATAATTCATCATATTTATATGGAAGCATGTTCAGGTAGTGTAGATTCAAGTTTGTTCAAATCATGACCCCCGGGGGTAGGGCGGGGCCAAAATGGCCGACCAAATTTTAACATAGAAATATATAGGAAAATTCTTTAAAAATCTTCTTCTCAGGAATGACAGAGCCATAATTCATCATATTTATATGGAAGCATGTTCAGGTAGTGTAGATTCAAGTTTGTTCAAATCATGACCCCCGGGGGTAGGGCGGGGCCAAAATGGCCGACCAAAGTTTTACATAGAAATGTATAGGAAAAATCTTTAAAAATCTTCTTCTCAAGAATGACAAAGTCATAATTCATCATATTTATATGGAAGCATGCTCAGGTAGTGAAGATTCAAATTTGTTCAAATCATGACCCCCGGGGGTAGGGCGGGGCCAAAATGGCCGACCAAAGTTTTACATAGAAATATATAGGAAAATTCTTTAAAAATCTTCTTCTCAAGAATGACAGAGCCATAATTCATCATATTTATATGGAAGCATGTTCAGGTAGTGTAGATTCAAATTTGTTCAAATCATGACCCCCGGGGGTAGGGCGGGGCCAAAATGGCCGACCAAAATTTAACATAGAAATATATAGGAAAATTCTTTTAAAATCTTCTTCTCAAGAATGACAAAGCCATAATTCATCATATTTTATGGAAGCATGCTCAGGTAGTGTAGATTCAGATTTTATTAAATCATGACCCCCGGGGGTAGGGCGGGGCCAAAATGGCCGACCAAAGTTTTTAAAGATATATATAGGAAAATTCTTTAAAAATAATTTTCTTAAAAAATAGCAAATCCATGATTGGTCATGGGACTACTTTTGGATTTAAACTTTCTATTAAAAAGCCATCTTCTACTTTTTCCTACCCTTAGTGCTCAGGTGAGCGATGTGGCCCATGGGCCTCTTGTTTTCACCCCTTTCATAATTGGGTAAATTTAAAATGGGGCAAATTCAAAGAATACTGCATAATTTCTTAAACAGAACTGTAACGGGTCAAATTAAAAGGAGGCAAAATTGTTCGAAAGGGCAAAATAACAGGGGGTGAAAATGGTAACCGTGAAAATAACCCTGTATACAGTATTTTATTTGATGACATCCCTTAATTAAAAAAAAAAATATCTGTCAGAGGTCGCATTCCTAGTGCATAAAATTAAACCTTAGTTATAAATCATTGTTCCTTTGTAAGAAATTGTGAAATTTTAGCTGTATGGAATTATAACATCTTACAGATGGTAATAAATAGGAATCACATTTGTCTTTCAGGACATGCACCTTCCATAAATATTCTCACTGAAAATATTACATATATTCATGTATATAATGATATTGACTTTTTTAGTGCATTAAGACATTAATGTTTGTTTTTTTTCTTCTCTAGGCTAATGGTATGTTTGCTGGACATACAGCGCTGCAGGCTGCATCACAGAATGGACACACTGATGTCATCAAGATCCTTATTAAACATGATGTGGATTTCGAAATTGAGGTACATAATTTTTATTTCAAGCCTATTTTGGTGATTGTACATTTAATACTTTATGATGTTGTCTTTGAAAGTACAGTAAAACTCGGTTATAACGAAGTCTCTGGGACCTGCGAAATCAATTCGCTATATCAATAGTTCGTTATATCCATATTTGAAATTTATTAAATTGATATATCTGGGGATCCAAGATAACTGGCTATATCCATGAATTCGCAATATCTGTGTTTCGTACTAAACGAGTTTTACAGTATTAAGTTAACAGAGCTGTTATTTCAATTGTCTAAATTCCAAATGAAAGCAAAGGCCATTATTTAATTTTTTTTATTAAATAAGAAATGGCATGTGCAGTTTTTAATATCAATTCTCTGTAATTATCAAACAATGTCAATAATGCTTGGCCACGTTACATTTTCAATTTCTATGAAACTTTTTGTGTGTACTCACATTGTCACATCATTAATGGTTTTATATTTTTTTATTTCAAAAAATGTCTCGTTGCCATGGTAACGGCACTTATTGTTTCCCCTGAAATTCTTCCTAAAATTTGACCAAAAAACGTGATTTTGTAGGTTTTACTGAATAAAAATGAGCTTAAAAGAAACAAGAGAATGGGAATTTCTACTTTTGTTTCAAAACTACTATTATTCCTCTCTAGTATAACAACATAATTTTTTTAAAACTGTAATTCTGCATAATGGCTTAAAAACGCTTTGCTTTGGGGATTTTGGCATTTTGCCAAATTGAGAAAATTACCATTTTAGACCCTTTTTCAAAGCGATTTTTTAATACTTTGCACACTGATTTGAAATTCAGGAAACAGTGCATTGTATAGATGGTACATAAGTTAGTTTAAACACATTAAAATATTTATGGGACACTTAAGTATTTTTTTTTAAAAAGCTGATGAAAAATAACCCCAAATCTGCAAAATTTCTGTATTTCAAGGAACATATGCACATTTCATTAGGTTCATATAGAAAAGAAATGTTCCTTTCTACCTGTTTTGATGACATTTACAGTAAAATTAGTCCATATCTATCGGAGAAATGTCATGTAAAAATATTCACATCCCATTTCCAAGAGCATTAATACATGTAAATATGTCCTTAGATAAGAGAACTGTGAACACCTGCACAAAATGCCCCCCCCCCCTTCCGTAAAATTGACAATTTTGAAGTACATGTAGACTAACCAGGGCATGTTTCAAGTTTCCTGAAACTATCCCCTTAGATTGAAACTAATATGAAATAAAATTTCCCCTATCCATTCTCTATTAATATGGAAACAGGAATGCGAGATTTGTTACCATGGAGACAGGAATACCAGATTTTTAACCAAAATGGCTGTGTTTAACGTAACAATATTCCCAAAACTACACTTATTTACTCTTTTATAAAACCTGTGTAATGAGTTAAATGTGAATGTGAACTAAATTTTTTGGCATCTTAAATTTGCATCTTTATGATGTTGCAAAAATATAATGCATTTTGTAATGCTATGTCAAATAATTGCAAAACCTTGTGGCTTTTACTTTTTCAAGATTTGGTCAAACTTGAAAAATTCTTACTTTGTATAATTATTTATTAAATTCATGGGCAACTGCAAACCACATATACTTTGAATGAAGTCAAAAATTTAACCCCCCCCCCCCCTTCTGATTTTTTCTTTTAAAACTTATGAAACACGGCTCTAAACCTGAGAAAAATTACATTGGTTTAAAAAGAAATCACATCCTCTTGGGTAAGTTATCTTGGATTTAAACATAAATATCCAACAATGGAAAACTTTAAACATAGTGTTTGGCATATAATTAATAAGTAGGTTTGCAATGGATCTTTTGTATTCTGTAAAGTCAGTTGAAGTTGAAACAATGCCCCCCCCCCCCCCCCCATGAGACACTGTCCCCCACAAGTATCATTTTAAGGAAGTTCTTCCTTTCATTTTACTAGGATCCTGCCAACATCTCATCACACCAACTATATCAATCTCCTTTTCTTTTTTTTCACATGTAAATATAAATTCTGAAAACAAGAACTTTTCGCTTTTTTAATTTTTTTATATATGCAACATCTAGAGTACATGTATTCTCATCTACAGTACATATCATTAGATTTACGTGACAAATTCTACTGTTTCTGCTGCTCTGAAAATCTTGTCTCTGATTTTTCAATTTTAGAGTTTTTGTTGGTCAGGCATGTACCAGTAATGACCTACATTGACATACGCAAGTAACACTGATAATTCGTTAATGAGAATTATGCTGAGTTGAGTTTTTTTGGCAAGGTACAGGATAAAGCATGATAAGTTCTAAAACATATTGTTATACAGCATAAGATTTGAGGATGCCATCACATAATATGATAAACATGTTCCTATTATATTTGAACTTTGACATCTCAAACACTGATATCTTGAAGACGGTGGGTACAAGCATGTTGAAGTCGGTTGGAATTCAGCTTTCACTTGCCTGGTTTCAAACCTAAAATATGGCATCCCTTCTCAACCTGCAATGGTAAATAATTCCTGCACTTTCCAATATACACTGATTTCAAGCTAATAAATGTGTATGTAATCCTTTAGAAAGTTGTTTTCTTTATTCTAGTTATCTAGTATAATAATTCTTCTGTTACTGGACAGGTATTAAATTTTGTTTAAAAAAAAGAAATAGCAAGGTTTAAATTTAGATATAAAACTGAAATATTTTTTAACAATTAAAGGACAGATGATACAAACAAACTTTTGTCAAAGAATTTGAAAATAACAAATGGGGTCATGTTTAAATCAGTAAAATTAATAACTTTCTTCAAGTACTTTTTAATTTTTCATTCATATTTGCATAAAAATGGAATTTGAAGTGAAAAATATTTGTATAGATTAATAAGGTTAGTTTCAAGAGGGCAGACTTTTGAACATCACAGAAGGTTTACAATTTCTTAATATTCTAGAAATTTATTAATAGCATCATTAATTTGCAATTAAATTATGCCAAAAAATATATACCAATCCAGGCATCCATTTTTTGTTTGTATCATCTGTCCTTAATTTACTTTCATATTTTAAGAATGGTTACCTTGAAAAGAACAAAATCTAGGCTGTCCACTTTCTTGCAGAATGCACTTGAACTTCAGTCATGGCCTATTTGGTCCTGTTTTGGTTTACTGGTCTTACTTTTTCTTTATTCATCTTATATGGTAAATCCTTTGATGAAAAAATGATGAAAATAATTATTTTCCTAGGAACATGATCAAAAGGAAAATTAATTTCATTCATACACACACATGTTCATGTGTGTGATCATCTTACCAGTAGTGAATATTTGCCTGAGTATCAAATAATTTGTTTAGAATATTATAAAACATGGTCATTGTGTATAACACAAATATTATTATAAATCAGAGGTGAATATTCTACATGTACATGTATATAGTTTTATTATACCCTCCGCTTGAAAAGTGGTAGGGTATACTGTAATCGGTATGTCCGTCTAGCTGTACGTCCATCTGTCTGTACGTCCGTCTGTCTGTTACGCTTTAGGGTACCCATCTCTTATTATCCGCAACTCCTCTTATACCACTGCAATGGGTGAAATTTAATTAACCTTTCACAAAATCTTTATTACATATTGCCATTGTGCACCTCCTATCTTACTTTTTGATTCGACACATATTTTGGGTTTCCCGGCCACAGTAAAACATGGATTTGTTATCAGTTATAACCATATGGGAGGCAGGGGGTATCATTTAGTGAGCTCATTGCTCACAGTACCCAGACCTGCCAAGTGACCCGCATTCGGTGGGTCACACCCGCAAAATTGACCTCTCACCCCCCACTCATATTGACCCGCGGCGTGTCATTGTTTTCACCCGCAAAATCGATCATCCCAATTTTTTGACCCAATATTAATTAAGCATGTTTGTCTCGTCTCAACAAGAAAGATCTGAAAATTCATCCTAAAATTTCCGATTTGTGTTTTAAAAATCAGGATATGAACATCTTGTTTATTCAGACCTGCCAACCAAAATTGATGCTGTGGGGGGTCATGACCCAACATTCAGAATTGAAATGTTGGGTCACAGCGCGCGGCGACATTTTTGTTGAGGTTTGAGTAACAAAATGCTCCCTAATTTTTAGGCATCAATGCAAACAGTCAAACACATGCATGTATATGTTATATTTTATTGCAGACTTAATTTTTACTTAGGACAGGTTACTTAAAATTGCTTGTATAAGAACACTTTCAGATTGATAGTAAGATTCAGATACTTTTAGTTCAATAGAATTTTTGCAAAGTTTTAAAAATTTAAAAAGTTTCTGGGAAACATTTGTTAGATTCTACAATGATTAATTTTCAACATATTACACAATCAGAAAATTGTAATTAGACATTACATTGAAAGATTGATATTGAAAAATTGCTGCTGCAGGGGGTGGTGGTAAGAAATATGTGCCATCTAATTTCCTATTATTAATTTTAAAACACACACAAAAAAAAATTAAATGAATCAAATACTACAAAATAAATTATGAAGGATACCTAACACCCCAAACAAAAACTTAAAATCGTTAGAGTCATGATGTGACTGACAAGTGGGTATTCCCTTGTCATAGCCATTTAACAAAGAAACACAACGTACAATACTACATTTTGGGAGGGGGGGGGGGGGAGAAATTCAATATACTTCACTTTAGACTCTTTTGCTTTATCTTAATTAATATCATTTTCTTTTAACCACTACTCTTAACAATAATTTCAATATACGAGAGCTGATAAAATCAGCTGTTATCAGTTATGCTTTGTAGTTTCGTTTTTTTACTTTCGTTTTTAAAAAACGATCCCAATGTTTATCATATCATTGTATTTAATTAATTAATTTCTGTTTTTAATAAAATGATATTTAATTAACCTCTAAATCTATGTGGTTCACCATGCATATACCCCTTCAAATGGTTACGTATAATCCCCTAAATGCTCCAGGCATATAACCTGTACAGCTGTGTCAGTCTGAGATCAAGCGTGAAGTGATTTCCTGTGCTTAATTAACAGTTTTTTTAACACCTCGGCAAACAAAGATACTAATCTGTGTGCATTGAATAAACAAGATGTTCATATCCTGATTTATAAAACACAAATCGGAAATTTTAGGATGAATTTTCAGATCTTTCTTGTTGAGACGAGACAAACATGCTTAATTAATATTGGGTCAAAAAATTGGGATGATCGATTTTGCGGGTGAAAACAATGACACGCCGCGGGTCAATATGAGTGGGGGGTGAGAGGTCAATTTTGCGGGTGTGACCCACCGAATGCGGGTCACTTGGCAGGTCTGGCTGGTACCTCTAGTTAAATTTTAAGTTTTAACACTAATACATATGTACAAGTGTACATATATATTTGTTAACTGTTTGCTATTTGAAAAGATTATTATTATTCACACAAAATTGAACTATAGATAATACAGTACCGGTACTTCACAGACGAATGAAAGAGTCTATATAAACAAAAATAACTCAATATTTCCAGTGCATTCTTAACCTAGATCTATTTTCATTTTTGTCAATACATATAGTACAGTTTTGGATATATATAATAAATTTAAAGTTTAAAAGATAGAAGCTATTAAATAAAACAATGACATCAAAACAAACATGCAGTTTTCTGCTTATGAACATCACATGACCATATTTTGCTGATATATAGAATACTATTTAAAAAACTTAGCTACTTTATGCTTGTGCTTACACATTATAAACGTTTGATGCACTTTTTTTGATAGAAACAAACTTGCTCTAGTTAAATATTTTAACAACACAATTCTGTAAAATATGTGCCTAATGCCAATAAAGAATTGAAATAGTAGGATAAAACAATGAATGAAAACTGACAGAAGTGGAAATATATATTATAAAGATAAATAATGTTCACTTAAAAGTCTCTCTCAGCACATCATAAAAAGTAAACCTACTGAATGGCACAGATTTTATACAATCTCTATATATAGACATTTATATTTCGGGGGGGTTGGGGGGGGTTGGGGGTTGGGGGGGGGGTTCAGCTGTATCAGGAAGCGATGTTTATATGCTTCAAATTCCTTTTTATTAATTAAAATAATTAATTCATTGGTCAGAAAGTCAAACTGTCAAAAGGTATACTTTGCTTGATTTGATAAGGACCACTGACCACTACCGGTAAAACAACTGTGTATTGTAAGGCAAATAAAATTAAGAAAATATGCATTTGTTAATCTTGATATTTTTGTAATGCTCAGTATATACATAAATTTACCTTCTGTCTTCATTGTTTAGGATGTCTAGCCTTCTTTTCTTCTTCCAGACTGTAAAACTTTGATGAGGTATTTCGCCAGAAAATGTGCATTGCTGTTTACTACACTCGGATTTCCTCGGATGACTCGTACCTCGCACATAACTGAATGGAGCGTAGCGGAGTCAGCCGAGGATTGCCGATTGTGTTTACTAAATACACATTGTACCTCCAAACGTTAGAGAGTAGTTCAAGGGAAGTAATTAGGAAGCAAAAAATGCTTCAAAATGTGGAAAAAAGTAATCTTTACCTTTGAATTCCTTTTACATCTTTGAGTCTCCCACCAATATTTTACATATTTTGATATAATCAAATATCAGCCTTTCATAATTAATTATTACTAAATTTGTAATCAGTGTGCCTTTTTTGTTTTAAGCCTCCAAAAACTCCACTAAACCAATCACATATCTGATATGTTATAATATGTAAAATGGCCATTTACTATTGAGAGATTAAATTAAAACTACAGATATAATTACTTTAATCTGTAGTATTAAATTTAAATAATGAAAACATATTAAGTTATCCCTTTTCATTTCTGGACACAGTTTTTCTTGATAAGTACACGTTTTTCAAAATTAACGAAATTGAGAATTTTGCACCCCGTTTCTATGGCAACCAAGGGTCTATTTCATAAACCCACTTTAGATTTTACAATTAATGACATAGCTGTTTAAAATTATTATAAAAAAATCAAAATGTTTTTCTATGCGTGGCCAACCAATTTTGATAATTACAGAGAATTGATATTAAAAGCTATTGTACACATGTTTATTTTTTATGCCAGTGAGAGAAATATGGCATTCACTGGAATGATAATTGAATATTATGTCTGCCATAGATTAATAAGATATTTATTGCCAAGTCTATTCATTGCAATTCATAATCAGAAAAAAGATGCCAGATTTATAATAAAACTTCAACCCTGCAGGACAAAGATGGAGACCGGGCTGTGCATCATGCTGCATTTGGTGATGAGCCCAACGTGATTGAGCAGCTGCAGCGTGGTGGTGCTGACCTCAACGCCCGCAACAAACGTAGACAGACTCCCCTTCACATAGGGGTCAACAAAGGTCACATTGGAGTGGTCAAGACTCTCCTGGAATTGGGATGTCACCCAAGTCTGCAGGTAGAAAGTGGTCTGGTTGTACAGTAGTTTGTATATTTGATATAGAGCTAATATTTTATGGAAATTGGGCCATTTAGTTAAAATTTTATGGGGGAAAATTATCATTTCATATGTTGCAACTGTTTTATAAAATGCCTACATGTTTCATATGTTTCAGAGAAAAAAAAATATGCAAACATGTAACTTATTTGCCTGAAAAATATTAATGACAATGACAACTTGATATCCTGAGTTCAATAGGATTATAGAAATTTTAATTTTTAAGATGTCAGAGATGAATCCATGAAAAAAACATAATGTGGTGAAGATGGTAGAATACTTTGAAATTTCTCTGATGTTCGAAACTTTTCTGTAATTTCCTTGACATTTGAAAGTTAATAAGAATTTCTCCAACATTTGACATTACTGTGGATTTCAATGATATATGACATAAATTCTGGATACTAAAGGTCAACTGTTTCAGAATTTGTAATTTTTAATGCTTTGTTTACATACAAGTTTACATTCATATTTGAAACCAGTTTTTGTTGATTAGTTAAATACTTATTGAACGTGTATTAAGGATTCAGAAGGGGACTCCCCACTCCACGACGCCATCAGCAAGAAACGAGACGACATGATTTCCCTGCTACTAGAACATCATGCTGACCTGACAATAACTAACAACAATGGCTTCAACTCGCTACACCATGCTGCTCTCCGAGGCAACCCCAGGTAGGTGTCTGCGTGTCGTGAAGTTTTCAGGCTTGGTGTGAAAGATTGCAGTGTTGTTGTTTGATGCAATGTTGTTAAAAATGGAGCTAAAGTAAATGTTTGAACATGCACTCATAAAAGGAAAATGAGTTTTAAAATTTTCAGTAAACATGACGTAAATGTAATCGTGTCAAAGAATAAATTATGGAAGTATTCTATATTAAACAAATTTATGTAAACTTAGAATGTGATAGAAGTTGTATGGATTGAAATATGTCTTTTTAGTCCAGACTGGAAACAGACGTTTGGCTAAAATATAAATTTCAGTGTATAAAGAAATTTTGAAGAAATGAAAATTAAGAAACAAAACAAACACTGCATGATGGATCGTGTGATTGAAAGAGTTGTCTTTCTTTTAATATAGTAGGATTCTGCATTCGGATTGTCTTTCTTTTCAGAGAGATGCAAAATTATTTGTTGAAATGAGATTTTAACAAACACTAATTATCAGAAATCCTTAAATTAGGTACAACTCTATAATATATGTTTTGGTTTATTATTTTGAACCCTATTTTATCCAGATCCATTATTTTCCCACATCTGAATCTGAAACAAAAAAAAAACACAACAAATATTTCCATCTTTAAATTTTGCAACATGAAAAAGATTTACAGAGACTGGCTGAATTTAAACTTTTAAAGAGAATATAATCTGTATTTAATCTCATTTAATGAATCCACAACTTCTTGACATGAATATGCACTTTTAATTTTATCATTCAAATATTTGAAAAGAATGGCAGCTGCATAGGATGAAATTTAATGTATCTTTTATGAATCTATTAAAAGTACACATTTAACTGTTTCAGTGGTGAAAAGGTCATGAACCTGCACTAAAATTACTTTTAATTTCAAATGAAATATAGAGACATGTACTGGGTGTTTTTTGGCAGTAAAATCTATGGTTTTTAACATTTATCATTTCAACAGAGATATGATTAAGAATTATAAAGAATAAATTTTAAAACTCTAATGGGTCAATAAATTTTTTTCTAAAATAAAATCGGACCTGATAATTTTTTTTCTAAAAAGAACATATCGAAAACGTCTCTATTTCAAAAGTTTAATCATTTTACCACTTCTTTTTCCTTGGTTTAAAGTATTTTTGTAGGTCTTCAAGTACATTTGTATGTGTAATTCTTGCATGCTACTATCTGGCTGATGTTCAAAAGATTATTCTTCCTATCATCTCTGGCATGACGAAAAGCATTTGGTGTTGTGACAGTATATTTTATTGCAGATTGTGCGTAGCAAATCATCTTACCCAAATCCCACAAATAATATATCCCGGAATTTCCCCCTTGGTGACCTCATTCTGGGGTCACTGAGCTGGCACACTAATGAGCATTATCTCTGGAAGCTGTGTACACACAGTCTTGTTTTCCCATGTGGTGGGAGGATGCATCTCCTTTTTTATTCCTCACAGATGTTGGGGGATCATGTTGCTTTAATGATCTTTGGTGGCGGATCAAGGGAGGTGTTAAGGCTGTTATGAGTTGTATGATCATGCCCTGCTGTTTGCTTGTTTTATGTCTTCTATAGGGTGTTAAACCTCTTGTATTATGTTCAACAAGTCTATGATGTAAGGATTTACACAATCTGTTGTTTCTTTGATTTGGAATGAAAACATGTAATGTAGTATGTTCTTTGATTCTGTGAGTTTTGCAGTGCTGCACAAGCATGCATTTCTTGTTAATTTTTGAGGTTTACATCTAGGATTTTGTTTATTAGTTGTACCAAATCAAGGTTTTTGAGACACGGTAGCTAAAAGTGCTACTTGATTTGTACATTTATTTAATATTTTATTGCTATGGGTATTGAAACAGCTGAAAATACCTCTCTAACTTTGTAATTCCCCCTCCCCTCTAGCCATTTTCCCCCTTTTCTGACTTTACCCCCATTAGATTCAGTGTTCTCTATGTAATATCTCAGTTTATATAACAGTGCAGTGTTATGTAATAAGGTGACATTGAGATACAGAAGGAAGGTGATGACAGCTACACTGATTACTGTTTCTTTATGACTGAAATTTTTTTATCAAGATCTCCAGCAATTTAAATAATCAACTGCCAGTGAAGATAATCACCAATAAATTTAAAGAAATCTAGATTTAAAAGTAATTGGAATTTCTAAATCAGCTACATTGCAATTTTTATTATTGTTTGTTTGCGTTATGTAAGTGCATTCCTTGATAATCAAATGGGAAGCCATACAATAGACAATGAAAAAATATGTCGCCATAAAGATGTAGATTTTTTTTTTCAATTTTCTCTTCCTAGCCCTATATTTCCTGGTTGATTTAAGATGTCTGTTCTCTGTGCCTTCAGTTTGATGTAACACTAGAGATTTGTCTGGAATTCAGTAAAACATTGTCTTGTGTAGCATGAGTCTTAGAAAGAATATGTAGAGCGAGGATTCCTTAGCTTTGTTTATGTGATGAGAGACAAGGAGAGGGAGAGAGGCCTTCCAAAGGCCAGACAAATAGTTCCTCTTAAGACTTTCTCAAATTCAGAAGACTTTTCTAAAATTGTAAGCTGAGATTAGAAGGATTTAAATTGTAAAGTTTTGCACAATTTTTTGACAAATTGAATTTAAGTTAGCCTTTTTAATTTAGAAAAAATATTTCAAAGAAATGTACTAATAGTTCATGTAGTTCAAAATTTGAAAATGAAATTCCCTGTAAATACTTGTCAACTTTAGGGTTGAAAGGTTTTTAGAACACTTTGGCGATAATCAAACACTTGAATAGATATAAGGATTATTAATCATATTTCAAAAGAGAAAGCAAAAGAAACAAGGAAACTTTGCTCTGTCTCTAAGGGAAACTATTGTCTAAAATGCTGATGTAAACCACATATTATCTTCCATCTGGCCTGACTTAAGCCCCCCTCCTTGGATGATTGTTTAGCATTCCTGCACTCTGATCTCCAGCTGTTATCCTCCCAGGTGCTAGCAGGGGCAGGGCAGTATGGCAGAAAAGCATGTTGTCCCCCAGCTGTAAGGCATTATCCTGCCATGTATTGGGGGTAACAGTAAAGTAATCAGGTCTGGAATGTCAACGGCTAACATACTGAGACATTTCATTGCAAGGCTAATGGTGGATTTGTCTGTGAGTAATTAGGGTATAGGGATGTTTTAATGAAAGGGATATTGGAAAAAAAGTGCTGAAAACAAATTGAAGAAGGGGGTGGGGGTGTTTACGTAACATGAACATTAAAAGGGGGTTTAAAATGGACACTAAGGAGAAGGGGACCCCAAGATCTCCTGTACATGGTGTATTTATATCAGAAATATGGGTCTTTTGGACTGCATATATCATTTTAAGTGGAATAGCCAGTACTCAAAGTGTAACTAGGAAATCATGTACTTCTGAATATGCTGAAGCTTCTCGAGTATAAATCTGAAATAGAGAAGGATAAAAATGTTTATATTTCCTTTTACACAGTGTTTTGTTAGGAAGGTTTTGCAATGAAAATTGTTAGCATGTAATTTCACAAATCAGTATTATATTCAGAGTATACAATCTTTGCTCCCCCCCCCACCCATAGTTCATTGTACAATGGTTGTCATATTTTTGTTTTTGATGCATAATGGATATTTATGTGGAATTAACCTTTCAACTTCCATTTTTGAATTCCCAGCAAAATAGATAGAGGAATAAAACACTGAAGGCTGACTTACACAATAAGACAGACATTTATAGTGGTATTATAATTATTATTCAGACTGGCAAGAAAAAATAAATTGTTGACAATTAATGAAATTTGCAATGATATCTCACACAAAATGTTACCAAAGAATACTCAAGAACTTGTATTTGTAAAATATGTCATCAGGCTTTACTTTTTTCCACAGTGTTAACTATTGGAACTGTCTTAGAAATGGTAAAATTTTGAAAGAAACATGTTTCTGGTAAATCAGCCTGCTCAAATCAGCAGATTCTTTGGAGATTGGGTGAAACCAGAAAAATGCAGTATTTGGTTCCCCTATAGCTACCAAGACATATTTGATCTTCAACAAAAATTCTATATTTAGTAACATTTGTACGTCTATGGCACTGGAAAACATAACATGCAAAGCACACAACGTAAACAACCCCCTACCATCACTGGTATTTTACATGATTACACCTACAGAAATCTAGCAGTCAGCTGACGAAGCACAAATTAAAACAGCTATTAAAATAATATATTAAAATGAAAGTAAAAAATGAAAATTGGAAGGCATGACCATGCTGACAATACGATTGGTCGGTAACAGTGCCAACTACAGCTGGTTGAAGGGGACCAAATTTAACTGGCTGAACGTATTTGGCCCAATCTCAACCAACTACAGAATAGCAACTAACGTCTCAGCTGCTCGTTTATTGCAGTAGCTGGTTTGTGGAGGGGGTAAAAGGGAAATAAGGGAAAGACTTCATATTATAATAACAAGGGGAGATAACACTGCAATCAGGAGCAAAAACATTCAATACGGTGCGCCCTTCAACCAGTTGTAAGATGCAACAATTAAAGAAAAACAAACTTTTTTTTTTGGCTAGTAATCTTACGTACTTGATACAACAATCAAAATGCATGCAGGGGGTCCAAAATTTATATGAATTCTATGATTCAAATTTTATGTATATTTTGTTAAAAATTTATATGAATTTTGGAGAGGAATCTGATATTGAGGAATAAATTTATCATCATTAATATTTCATGCAAATTTTTATTCAAAACAAAAAAAAAATCTTTTATTCTGAGGAAATATTGTAGACATAAATAAAAATCAATCAATGCACACAGCAAACTAAAAAAATTCAGCAAATCGACTTACATTTTCTGCTATAACTCAATAATATCCACATCGATATGAAAACATAAAAGATAATAGTGATATTGTTAAGACAAAAATGATATCAGGAACATAGTGCAAGTCCCTTATAACTGTGATGTAATCCTGAAGCCATGGCCATCGACT